TTGTTCTATCTGAGTGGGTTTTTAGGTTTAAATGCCAACCCACTGTCTAATTTTATCATAATAAAATTCTACCTATAATGGATTTATATACTCCACCACAATATCGAAGTTTTATCCTTACATCGACGACTTTTTTGAATGAAGTTGAAGTCGCCTACAACAGCAACAAAAATAATAATAATAAAGATAACCCTCTTTCAGTTGGATAGATTTGACAGTGCATCTTTGAAGACATCAAATCAAAACTAAGGGGGGAGGGGCTAGGGATAAAAATATCAAAATTGAATCAACTTAAACATTTAACCCAACTGACGCTGCTCTAGACGTTTTTAGACTCGGTTACAATTTCGCACTCTTTCTTTGTGTTATTATATTAACGCGCATAAACTCTTTTAGTCCGTAGGTCAGAGTCCTCTTAGCCGGACGCGTGTCAACGGAAAATTCAGGGAAGCTTTTCAAGTGAAAGCAGCAGTAAGACAAGGTCGCATGGCCTATTATCGCCAATGATATTCCTAATTCTAGTGGACTCGATGATGCGGGAGACAAAGTGTGGGGAGTGAGAAGACAGGAGTATGTTGGATCGATAAGAAGATTCTAGAAGATCACGATTTCATGCATGATTTATTGTCGAATGTCACACAGACTCGAAGACCTACAAGCAAAAACTAAGAGGTTGGTAAAAGAGGCAAGCAGCAAAGACAGGAATTCAAGTGAACAGACAGAGGTGATGAAGATAACCAACCAACAGCGACAATGAACAGCACCAATCACCATCAACAGGAGAAATTCAAAAGAGGTTACTTCCTTCACTTTATCCAGGCAGCCAACAGAATTTCAAACACAGGCAGTAGGAACGAATGAAGATGTCAAAACAGGCCAGAATCTGAAAGGTTAGATACACTTTCATCAATCTGAACTCACTTTGGAAATCTCCCACACTCCGCAGCATCAACAAGATCCGGATTTTCAACACCGATTTCAAGTCAGTCAGTGCTTCTATATGGGTCAGAAACTTACATTGCAAGCGCGTCACAAAAAGCAAGCTAATGCAGACTAACATCAAGAGCTGCCACCTTCGGTAGTCCTATAGTGAAGATAAAATGGCCAGCAGGAAATCAGCAACAAAAAGCTATGGGGAGACTAACTAACCAAGAAACTGTCATTGGACGAATAGATGGAAGAAATTTGAGATGGATAGGACATACGCTGAAGTGGCCGTCGAACGACATCGGGCCATTGATCGACTGCAACCCGAATGGGTCACCCGAGGGTGACATCGAGGAGATAAGAGATTATTGGTCAATCTTGCGACCAACTAAATGGGACCGCAATAACTAGAACAACGTGGAGATATGCTCATGAAGCCATATGTTCCACCCAGTACCAAAGAGGACAATAACTACAATAATAAATGATAAAAAAATCAATACTTAAAAGTCAAGTAGAGTACTGATTGACTGAATAATTAGACATGCCCCACTACATTTAGTAAGGCGAGTAAAGTATAGGCTAACCAACAGTACAATCAGTTACCTTACAACTCCTTTAAAATGTGCGTTTATTTTTACTCACATTGAAAAGGAAAAGTCGAAAAAACTAGAAATCCAGTTAGTGAACGATTAACGAACATCCACGTACTTTTGTAAACTAGCTGAAGTGTAACTGATGTGTGAGGAAATCTATCAATACATAAACAATATTAGATAGCTGGAGGCAATCGGCAGGAAGGAAGCCTTGTCTGACCTAGGTTTCGTGCTAGTTGGCACTCATCAGTCAGTTAGCAAGGCGTATCTGCAACCTTGAAGGGACCTATGTGCTTTCTGAGATTCGAACCCGTGTCACCAATCAGAGACGTTACCCCTGAACTATTCGAACTCACGATTGACCTCCCGTAGGACTGTAGTGGGTGACGCGGGTTCGAATTTTAGAAGGGATGTGAGTTCCTTCAAGGTTGCAGATACTCCTTACTAACTGAATGGTGATTGTCAACTAGCACGAAACCTAGGTCACGTAAGGCTTCATGTGACCGATATCCTCCAATGGGCATCGTGATGGCGTGGCCACATTGCGAACCTGACTGATAGAATTCAGTCTTCACCAAAGGAAGGACTACACACGTCACACTAGTTACTAGTGTCCAATCAGAACACAAACAGTATCTCATTTACAGGAGGAGTAGGTGGTGGTGGAAAGTTTCTACTGACTGACTGGTTTCAACATAGAACTTCGCACCGATGTCCAGCAGTTCAAGTCACCACACACCCCACGTAACACACAAAGCAAGAGAAGAAAGTAGGAAGGAATGCAAAATAGAGACAGTAAACAGAGACATGGGGCAGAAACACTTGTAATATCGAAGAACCCTCTAGTTTAATTGGGAATTATAAGTCACAAGGAGTGAATGCATGAGCATCAGCCATTGAGAACGATTTTGAGCCATATCATCGATTGTCTCCAGTCTTCATTGATTTTTACCGTCCCGAGGACCCCAACCAGGAAGTCTACATCTTCCTACGTGACTAAACTGATTGTTGTGGATTTCAGTGACTAATGAAGACATGTTTTCGTGACTAGTGAGGTCCATCCAGTCAAGTGTGAGGACGGATGTCCCACCTACGACATTGCTTGGGGTCGCGCTAAATCACGAATTGGTAGACGTTAGAATTCAGGATTGAATCGGGTCCCAATGGCTGAATGGTATACGAGCCAGCTTGACGTGTAACTGGAAGGTCCTGGGTTCGAATCCCAGTGGGTGCCTACTGCCGATGATTCCCAAACTAGGATGAAACAGTTGTCCAGTACTCCTGTCTGTCTGTTTTCGACATAAAACTTTGCACTTATGTGCACCATTTCAAGTCGCCACACCCCTTCTTGTAGCACACAAAGCAAGAGAAGAAATGCATAATACAGACAGTAAACAGAGGTGTGAGACAAAAGGAATAGTAGTAACGAAGAACAATGCAGTTTCATTGGGAATCATAAGTCACAAGGAGTGGATGCATCTGCACCAGCCATCACCGAAAACGATTTTGAGCCAGCCATGTTACCAATTGTTTCCAACCATTGGTGTTTACCGTCCCGAGGACCCCAACCAGGAAGTCTACACTTTCCTACGTGGCTTAGACTAACTGTTGCGGATTTCATTGACTGATGGCATGTTTTGTTTGACCTCCGCTAGCTTTTTTCCAGCCTGACCCTATATCAGGTAACATTACCGGTTGTCGACGAAGGCGTTTGATGGCTAGGGATGCATGCGTAACACATGTCCTAACCATCTCTCTCAGTTCATGTTACTTCATAGTTTCGTCTGTTGCTCACCCTATTATGCCACTTCACACAGGAAATAGAACGCAGGCACACCTACATACTTCTTCTATCAAACATCGAAGATAACAAATTGGGAGCGGGGGAGGGGGGGAGGCAAAAGAATAAAAGTCAACACACATTTTAATAATTACATATTTATTATTATTATTATGAATAATAACAGAGAAAGAGAAAACAAGAGAAAATGATGCAATAATAGTACCAATAAGAAATGCCATAATTGTGCTTCGCTTACCTTCTTTCTTTCTTTCTTATATGTCCAAGCGTGCTCTCTCTCCCTAGATGTGAAACACCACACTAGAGAGAGAGACAGAAGACAGTAGAATGATGAATAAAATCAAATTTATGCCAAATTGTTTATGTACAACATTTATGAATGTATGTCTACACAACTTTCAAGATAACTATACCAATATTATTGTTATTATTATCATTATCAGTAGTGGTAGGAGAAGGAGTAGCATGAGTTATAAATCCAACAAGCTAGTAAGTGTAATTTGATGACGATGAGTACATTTGTATACCGTTGATATTCTTATTATTATTATTAATCAACAGTAATAATGATAACAGAAGACGAATGTGTATATGTGTATGTATGAATGAGGCAATACCGTGTGCGTGCGTGCGTGCATGCATGTCTATATCTCCATTGGTAATTAATGGTAACAAGAAGACATTGAAAAGTGTAACAACCCACGACAACAGAGGTGGGGACGAGCCACACCAAAACAATAAAGAGAAGATTTCTCCAAAACTTCAAAAAAGTAATAATGACGGTAGGAATAAACTGAAAGATGTGTATTACACAAACACACCCACACACACACACAAACGCACACAATACTTTATCAACCAACCAAAGTATGTAATAATACTTATTATTATTATTAGTATGTATAAAAATGAAATATGTACACAAATGAGTAGTAATCAGTGAAAATAATAATAAAAGGTGCATGAGATGTCAAGGTCAGATGACATCTACACCCCACCCCCGCAACCACCCCCAGCGATAAAAATATTGGTCTTTACGAATGAGTGCAGTAGAGATATACGCACACGTACACACACGCACAGAGAGAGGAAGAAAGGAAAATAGAAACCCAACCCAAGAAATTTTCTTTTAAAAAAATGACGTGCGGGGTAATTTACAGAACAGCACGGGACAAAAAAAACGCGGGGAGGAGGGGTGGGGTAATTACTTTATAAAATAGGAAAAATACTGGTATAGTTAGTTCGGAGACAGAGAAAGAAAAATATATTTGTGTGTGTGTGAGTCCTTCATTGTTCACTGATGATGATTATTCAACACAATGTGCGTCAAAGAATCTGCTGCTTAGTGGACTATTTTTTTGGTTTCCAAAGTTTTCACAAATGATTGGGCACTGACTGTAGTGACTGGCTGTAATGATTACCGACAAATTATTACACCTCTAGAGAGACTGACCGATTATTTAGCAGTAGCAAGTGATGGCGTAAGCAATCGAACAAATAATGATAAACTTCTTCTCCTACTCTTTCTTGATCTTCAAACACTAGAATGGCATTAAGTGTACATGTGTATTTGTGTGTATGGAGAGAGAGAGAGAGAAGGGGAGACATGATCGATAAACTTGTCTAACAATTTATATATATATATTTAAAATTGAATGAATTGAAAAATCTGTAAGCTAAGAAGAATCACGATGACTTGTCGAATAAATGCTATCTTGATGTCGATGAGATGATGATGAATGCGATGAACTAGATCTTTCATTATGATGATTATGTCTTGAAGAAGACGAATATGCTGAACTATTCTTATCATCATGATCTCGTGATCTATGCAGTAATGACGACGACGATGACGGTGTATCACGATATCTTGAATTGTAGTCATCACGTCGATGTGATGAATTATTACTACTGTCTTTCAATTGATGCGAATGATGTTGATGTTGTCGATAGGAATGTTGTTGATGCTGATGTGATGGATGAGGATAATGGTGTTTACGATCATAACGAGGATTATTGCTATTATTATTATTATTACTATACGATTGTGATTTATAATGATTAAAATTACTTGAACTCTTCGACTGATAATAAGAATGTGACGACGATGGTGAGTGATGATGACGATCAGCCGTCGCCACCGCCTCATAGTGTCTATTATAATCACGTGATGAATCTTTCGACTTTTTTACCATCGTATCCTCTGTATCTTTACGAGGTGTAGTAGAACAGTCTCGTGATTTTTTCATCAATATTTCCAGATTTTGTTGTTTGCTTACTATTGACGACGACGCCAACGACGACGACGAGGGTGTTGATGATGATGAGTGGCCAGTAGTAGTATGAGTATATGCATCGATGACTTCATGACTATTTGTTATCAGCTGGAGACATTCAGGATTACTAATAATACTAATCGTATTACTAGTAATAGTATCAAAATCACTAGTAGTCTGTTCTAATGGATCAGATTTTCATCTAATAAAGGTGTACCTGGATGACTCGGAGAAACAGTTGTACTCATAAACTCCACTGCCGTCGCCTCGTCATCTTTTGTTGTCGATGATATTGTTGGATGTATTGATTGTTCACTAATAGAATTTTCATCACCAACTTGTGCCATCGGATCGTCATTGCCGTCTGTGGTTATTATACACCGATTATCATCAGATGATTCAGGTAGGGATTTGTTCATATCTGTTGTCGCTGTTGTGGTTGTATCGTCTAATTTCTCGACAGTATTAGTCGTCATCACCATTTCATCGTCATCATTAGTAGAAGCAGTAGTAGTATTCAGCTGAGGTGAGTCCTTTGAGTCTTTCTCACTTGCAATATCATCACCATCATCCTCATCAGGTGAAGAAATGTAGGATAAATTTAATAAATTTGATGTTGCTGACGATGTCGTTGGATAATCATCAGAGACTAAAGTTTCAACAGCGAATTTCGTCAATGTTTCGACTCTTTTTCATGAATAGGAGGAGGAGCAGCGGCTGAAGCAGCAGTAATAGTAGGGGAAGAGGAGAAGATTTCGACGGACTAATATCTACAATCGAATTGTCGTAGATGGTTCTATCATTTCTTCATCACTAATACTTGAAAGCATAGAAATATTCATACATGATGACATAGCTTCATTTGTAGGCGGTGGTAATTCCTCTTTATCGATAGAAACACATGAATTAGGATCATTTTCATTAGATAAAGGTACACTAGATGGTACAGTAACAGCAGCACTGGAGACGACTTCGCTATCTTTGCTAGGTGGAATAAACATTTCAATATCATACAATCCTCGAGTAGTTTTAGAACAATCAAGTACTTCATCTTCTTCTTCATGATCATCATCATCGTTGTTGCCGACTTCTTCTTCTTCGTCCGGCTGCAACTTTGATGACTTTTAGTCACCTCTGTTTCATCATCTAATCGTTTATCTAGATTATCTGTACTGACCATCTCTGAACTGATGACTACTACATCATTTTTTACAGAATTGACCTGTGAGTCATCCATTATATCTGGTTGATGTTTGACAACTCTGTGGTGTCTGGAGAAGTCATAGGATCATCAATACACTCTGACTGCTGTTGTTGTTCCGGCTCCTCATGATGATGATCAGAGATAATAATTGGTTTCTCGTAGACAGACGACAAACAACTAGTTTCAGCAATCACTTCAGTAGATGGAAGATTCATCATACCTAACGGTTGTATATCCAGACAACACGTTTCATATTCCAACATCAAATGGATTGACACGTATGCATACAGGCTTATTATTATATGTTCTTCTGAGGCTTGATCCACTATTACTCCTGTTGAAGGCAATAAATCTTTATCTGAAGATGATTCATCCATATTTTGACCATTGTTGTTGTTATTGGCGGTGCTGGTGCTGCTGCCGCCGAGATTTTCTTCATCAATCGACCTGCCAGTGTTTAATTCAGCTATCTGATGATGATGAGGTGTAGTAGTAGTAGTTATACAAGTACTACTATCATCAGATATCATTTCAACACCTGGAGGTAATAATTCTGGTTCATGAATTAATCTTTTACGTGTCACAGGACGTTTACGTTTTCTTGAAGAACCAGCACCTGGCGATAATGAAATATTTGAATGATCATCTGTTGTAGTCGATAAAGTTGGCGATGTCAACTGGCTGGTTGATGAAACACTTTTTACTAGACTATCATCTAATGAAGAGTCTTCATTTTGTAGTTCAGGTTTAAAAAGACTACAGGAGGATACAGGAGAAGTTTCATTATGCGCAGGGGTTATTTGAATATTGGGTGAATTAATTCTCGTATTCTCTTCGTCTTTATTATTATTACTATTTCTACTAGGTGAGATTGGAGTAATATTTTCTGAAATTGTAGACGGGGAAGCTGTGCGTTCACTAGTTACATGATCTGAACTAGCGATACCTAGGGAATCGTTTCCATCAGTATTACCTTCTAAAACATTGATATTCTCCAATTTTGGTGACTTCTTCGTTGAAATGTCTGCGGTGTCATTCTGACTACTGGTGGAGGAGGAGGACTTTTTCGGAGTTAATTCAGCACCAAGAGGTGAACGTAATGATTTCAAAGATTTAGTAGGAGTACCAAATCTTCCTTTTCCACGGCTAGTTGGACTTGAAACTTCAATAGAAGTAGATAAATCACGCATTTCTGTATCATCGTCTACATCGTTTTTCACTGGCACAACACATGAAGGTTGAGGAGCAGAAAAACGAGAAAGAATAGGAGAAAGAGGAGGAGGAGGAGCAGTCGCAGCAGCAGCGATAGACGGAATTTCATTTTCAAGTGATGTAGATTGAAGTGATAGCATTGCATTGGTTTGTTGTAAAGCACCTGTCTGACGTTTACGTTCTAACCAATCAACAACACGTGCTAGTTTTTCACCCTGTATATATAGATTTCAAACAGACAAAAAAAGTTATAATCAGTAACACGAAATAGATAATACAAATGAAAAATAAATAGAAATCAGGTTTAACTAAATTTTGAAGGAATTGAATGTGTTGGTTCGCAAGGATTGAATCAATTTAATCAAATAAGATGTCAGAACTGACATGAATTAGAAAACCGAAGATAAGCTGTTTCTCCCTACTCTACGACCCCTAACTAAGCAAAATACATCTATCATCCAGTCGCACATTGAACCCAGGACCTTTAGGTTACAATATAGTGAAACTGTTGACCATTATAGCCTCCAGGAATGAATGATTTTATTCAAGTGTTGGTTTGCAAAGATTTGACTGGTTACATGATTTCATAGTGGGCCTTACATCAGTGAGAGAACCACTGGACAACTGTTTTGCCCTGGTCTAGGACTCTTCATCAGTACACCCGCCACAGGATTCGAACTCAGGACTTTCCGGTTGCGTAGCAAGCTCGTAGGCCATTGGACCGGACCCAGTGGCTTAGTGGTGTACGACTTAGCCTCGTAACCGGAATGTCCTGGGTTCAAACCCCTCTGGGGGCGCGTACTGATGAAGAGTCTCAACCTAGGGCAAAACGACTGCCCATCACTCCAGATGGTTCTCTCTAACTGAAGTCACTCGTGATCAGTCCTGAAATTCAGAAACCTATGATTTTTAACTTATGTCTACTCGCCACCGCTAACTAACCAATGTTGTCGGCGAGTGACTATATTGGTCACAACATTCTTACTACAACTGCAGACAACATTATCCTAAATTCCAATCACTAGTGATCAAACTACAGGTTTTCGTTTATGGAGGGGGGGGTTGATCGGTTTCAATTTCGATCAGGAACTGACAACAACAACAACACATCAGAGTTGTCTGTCTGTCTATCTGTTTTCGACATAGAACTTTGCACAAATGTGCGGAAGTTCAAGTCGCCACATTCCGTGTAGCACGCGAAGCAAGAGAAGAAAGTACAAGAAAAGCATAATAGAAACAGTGAGCAGAGGTGTGAGACAAAGGAGTAATAAAGAAATACAAAACAGTTTCATTGGAGATCATAAGTCACAAGGAGTGGATGCATCTGCGCCGGCCACTGAGAACGATTTTGAGCCATGTCACCAATTGTTTCCAACCATAGATTTTTACCGTCCCGAGGACCCCAGCCAGTCAGGAAGTCTACACCTTCCTACGTGGCTTAGACCAACTGTTGTGGATTTCATTGACTGGTGGGGCCAAGTTTTTGTTTGACCGCCGCTAGCTTTTTTCCAGCCTGACCCTATATCCGCTAACATTGCTCGTCGAGGGAGGCGATGGCTTGGCATACGTAACACATGTCCTAACCATCTCAGTCTTTGTAGCTTCACGACTTCGTCGATTGATTTCCCCTGTTTACCTAGAACTCTACGCCTAACCTCAATGTTGCTCACCTTATTATGCCACTTTACACGGGAAATAGAACGCAGGCACCTATGATCAAAGACAGCTAGTCTTTTCATGTCTTCCACTCTCAGTGGCCAGGTCTCACAACCAGCCTAAAGGAGGACGGAGCGGACTGATGAGCAGTACACCCGCCCTTTGGTCGATAGTCGAACATCTCGTCTACGCCAGAGTCGGCGTAAACTAACAAATGCGAAACGAGCCCCTTGTATTCGTGCTGAGATTTCGTCAGAGATCAGCCCGTTGGGGCTGATGGTACTTCCCAAATAAGTGAAGCGGTCAACGTGCTCTACCACTTCACTTCCTATTTTTAAACTAGGCGTCGATGTAGTCCAGTCCTGTAACATCATCTTGCATTTGGCGGGAGCGAATCGCATGCCAAACATTCGTAGATTGCGGCTCAAGGTGTTTAGAAGACTCTGCATTTCGTCAGCGTCTTCGCCTAGAAGGACTATATCGTCTGCATATTCCAAGTCAACGAGATTATTCCCTGGTAGCAAGTCAATTCCTGAGTCGCTGAAGTCACCTAGGGTTAAGTCCATTAACACATCTATGATGAAGTTGAATAGAAAAGGAGATAATGGGCATCCTTGACGGACACCACTGGTCGTCATCAGTTCAGATGACAGCTCGCCGTAAGCCCTCACCTGGCTGTATGAGTACGAGTAGAGTGCCTTAATCAGTGCAATATATTTTCTTGGAATTCCCTTTACAGCCAAGCATCTCCAGAGAACTTCCCGATCGACAGAGTCGAATGCTGCCTTTAGGTCAAGAAATATAATGACTGTTGGACGCCGGTAGGAATGCCTATGTTCTAGAATCTGTCGGAGGGTGAAGATATGATCAATACACCCTCTTCCTGGTCTAAAGCCTGCCTGGCTCTCTCGTGTTTGTGCTCCCGAGCACCACTCAGTCTACGCATGATTATTGAGCCTAAGACTTTAGATACTATATTAGTCAAGCTAATCCCTCTGTGATTATCACAGGAAGACTTGTCTCCCTTCTTGTATATCAGAGTACTGCTATTCCACACTAGGACAACAAAACTCCTATATTCAGTAGTACTCATACTACAAGGTCTATTCTACACTTTCCCTTTTTTTAATATTTAGTATGTGAAAAAGACCACTTGAAATATGTCTCCTTGTGCTTTGTTCAATTAGCTTCAGTTAGTGCCATTTTTACAAGTGGAATGATGTGATCCCTTTTCTTGTACTATTATGTTTTTTTTTGTTTGAATAACCATCAAAGACAGCAGTTGCCAGACAAGTTAAACTTTAAGCACCACTAATTAACTATCAATGGAATTCGACCGTTCTAATGACCTTGAAACGCTCGAAGGCAAATAATGCTGTCATCATCAAATAAAAAAAATATGCTCATCGAAGTTTTATGCGCCATTAAGTGGGATATCTGACATGTTTCAGCTTAGGTTTGCGCTCAAAAAGTGGTCATCAGTAAATATTACTGTATAAAACCATTGTGTGATTCTATCAAAATAAAATCTTATCCATAATGCAGTTATACTCTACCACCCACCACACAGTGCCCAAGTTTTATACTTATATCAAAAATGAGTAGGATACACAATATAAGCTGATAAAAATCGAAGAGAATAAAAGATAGTGGTATTAGCAGTAGTAGTGGTGGTGGTGGTGATGGGAAGTCGTGACCAGTAGGGTGCAGCAGGTCGGGTGTGAGGACAAATAGTCGCCAACGATGACATTGGCTAGCGGTCGCGCTATGTTGTCTGTGAATTGACAAAAGTTAGAATTCATGGGCCATTGGATCGAGTCAAACTGCCTTAATGGTCTACGAGCTCACTTGCCTTTAACCAGAAGGTTCTGGGTTCAAAATGGCTGTGGTGGGTACGTACTGATGAAGAGTCCCAAACTAGGACGAAAAAGCTGTCCAGTACTCCCAGCTGGTTTTCCAATCGTTTGCTAACCAATGTCAGCTCATGATGAAATCCTGTAACTAAACAACCAAATCCCTACAAAGTAAATACTTGAAGCTGATAAAAATCGAAGAGTGGTGGTGTTGGTGATGATAATAGAAAGCACATTACCTTTTGTTTTGAACTTCCGAATGCAGCCGGTGCTGGATTCTTCTCTTCTTCATTATTGGAAGACCTTTGAACAGATGATGATGATGCAGATGCTGATGAAAGAAGAGGATGTTGTTCTTCTGAGGTTTTACTGACTGTCGGTTTTTCCATTGTAGTAAACGGTATTTGATCTTGAGTAAGCAGATCAGAGGCGGAATATTGTCGAGGTAAACCACCACGAATACACTGATTATCAGCTTTACGCAGGAAGCAATATGGCTGTGAAAAAAAAAACAGTATTTTATTTTATTTTAACTACAATAAAAATGAGGCGTTTCAATGCATTTTTGTTGCCTCAGGTTTTTTTCCTTTTCTTCAAAAGTCCTTTTTGCTAAGAAAGTGTCTAGACGACTGTGATTGATAATAAACATGTGCTACTAAAACTTGTAGAACACTCAAACAGTTAGTATTATAGTGAAAAATGCACAGCTTAGAAGAACATCATAGTAAAATTAAGTAAGGCACATACATTGAACACCAAGGAGAACTGGACTTAGCGAATGATATACGTCTAATATGTCACATGAACTAAGTCAAACATCTACAGTAACTGACTAGTTTCAACATAAAACTTTGCACTGATGTGCAACAGTTCAACTTGCTACACTCCATGTATCACACAAAGCAAGAGAAAAGAGTAAAGCGACGTTCAAAAGAAAAGACACGTGAGTGACGGAAATAGAAAAAGTAGTAATATGGAAGAGCAACAGAGTTCTGTTGGATATGACAAAGGGTGAACGCATCCGTGCCAACACCCAATGAGAACGATTTTCAGACATATCACCGATGATAATTGTCTCAAGCCTTCATAGGTTCTTACCATCCCGAGGACCCCAATCAGACAGTCAGTCAGTCTACATCTCGCTACGTGGTTGGCTGGCTTGAACTAACTGTTGTGGATTTAACTGACTGATGAAGCCATGTTTTGGTTTAACCGCCAACCATTAGCTCTTTTCCAACATATTCTTAAATCAATTAACATTAGCCTTCGGAGAAGGCAATGGCTCGGAAGGTGTAACACATGCCCTAACCATCTCTCGCAATCGATGTATCTTCACAACCTTGTCGACTGACCTTCCCTCCTTACTTAGCACTCGAACGAAGCCTAATCTCAATATTACTCACTCTACATACCTACCACCTAAGATGAGAGAGAGAGAACGCAGATGCCTATGATGAAAGACAGGTCGCCAGCCTTTTTATGTCTTCAACTTTCAATTGCCATAGAGGAGGACGGAGAGAAATGCTGAGCAGTACACGAGTTCTTTAATCGACAGTCGGATATCGCGTCTATGCCAGATCTACAGGCGAAAATAAACAATTTATGACAGAAGAAGCAGTGAAGACAAGTGAATACAGAGAATATAGGGGTAATTAAACTACCTAACTACCACCACCGCCAACAACAATGAGCATCAACGGGAGAAATCTGAAGAAATTCACCTCTTTCACTTAAACTAGGCACCATCGTTTAAACAGCACAAATGATGCCAAAGGCAAAAAAAGACCTTTATTAATCTGAAGTCAATATGGAAAGCTTCTACACTCAGGCATAAGGAATAAGATTACAGGATATTTAGCACTAATATCAAATCAGTGCTTCTCTACATGGTGGTTTAGAGGTTTGGCACGCTAGAGACAAAAAGCCCTTCAAACTTTTATATCAGCAGCTACTCCTCTAGATGGTTCCATTCTGAAGAAAGCGTAGTAAACCGCGTAAAGGATAAGCAGCAAGAAACTCTAGCAACGATCCCACCACGAACTTTTCACCCGAAAAATGTACAGAGATAGATCAGACATACGCTTAGGGGACCTATTGAAGTGGCATAACGCACCAGACAGCCTCTTGAGTGGGACTCTAATAAGAAACGACGAGTTTGACATTCGACGGTGAAATGAAGGGGGAGATGAAAGTTTATGGGTACTCAATGAGCAAGCTAAAGAGGAAAGCAAGTTACAGGATGGGATAGAGATGTGCTGTTGTTGAAGTCCTACGTTCATCACGGATCATAAGCAAATAACAATTAATCATTCATTATGATTAATTATCATCGTTCTGACAAATGACATATCATTACAAACCCATAATAAATATTCTATCTAGAAATCACAGATATATATCTATTTGTCATATACTTAGCTACCATCAACAATCATTTGCATTCCCACGAAGTTTGCGATGAGCCACAAGTTTATTGTGTGTGTGTGTGACTGACTGACTGAAACTGAGTTTCAGCATAGAACTTTACACAGAAGTGTGTACCAGTTCAAGTTGCCACACTCCTCACATGTAGCACACAAACGTAGAAAAATAAGAGAAAAAGATGAGAATGAAAGAATGATAATGAGCAGAAATCTACGGGAGAAAGAACAAAGAAAACAATCAGACAATCTACACTTACGTACGTGGCTCAAGCCAACTGGCTGTCAAAATCTACGTAAGTGTAGATGGTGGTTCCAGTCTGCAGCTCACACACTGGAAGGAAGCCGCCGGGTGCCTAATCCAACTTAGCTGAAATTCCACGGCTATCATCATTATGGTGATGATAGAAGATATGATTTTACATATTGTAATAAGTGTAGTAAAACAGGCGAATCCTTTGAGAAGAATGAATATTCGTCAATCAGAACGACATTAAAGTAGTAGGAATGAGCCCTGAGGATATGTGCGCGTAGCTCTATTCTGGAACACCTAATCGACTCCTGTCACTCTATCCACACCCTGACGATGAATTTAAGATCATCTACCGAATCCATGCTGACTTATCGCGTTTTCTTCGTTGCACACTTCTAAAGACAGTGAGGGGCCTTGTCGATTCATTCATGAATTTAAGCCAGACCTTTGTGTACAAAAAAAATATGTACAATCCCTTCTTCTGCCTTGGCCGTGGACAGATAGATATTTATTTATTTATGTATTTATTTTATTATTCTATGTACCTTTCCCTTATTACTACGATTATTATAATTATTATTACTATTCTCACTCTGAATTGTTTCCGATTGTCCCACTTGTCATTTTAAAAATCAAAATTATTAATTTTCATATTTTTAATTTTTACAGTATTGAATTCTTTCTTACCAATTTTCACACACCATGTTATGTAACATTTTATATTCGTCTACTAATCCTATAATTATGCAACCCCACTTCCAACATCTACACATCCTATGAATTATTCTACATATGTGACATAAATTGTTTTACCACTTGACATTAAACTATGATTATAATCACAAACATATTTATTTTGATTGCATTTCATATTATTATTATTATTATTATTTTGTGTATTCACACCTTTGATCTAATTCTCTCATTGGATATAATTTCTGAAAAACAATCCATATATTATATGTGTATACGATTGCACAGCTTGATGATAAATTCGTTGTTGGAGAGAGTCTCTTCGCTGTATATTGTGTTCTGAATGCTACACAATGGGAATACTTAAATTATTGAAAGAATTGAAGAGTAGTCAGAAGGAATAATACATTACAGGAGAAGGTTAAAGAAAAAGAAATTAAAGCACAACCATAAATATAAACATATAAACCAACCAACCAACAAAAACACACACGCACTCACCTTCATATTGACTTTCAGATATCCAGGAGATATTTCATCAAATCGAAAACCTTGACCATTTCCAGTAGACGATGGTTGTTCAAACAATTTTTCACAGACAAAAAAGTGTTGAAATTCATCTGATCCAGTGCTTGTTTTGTTACTGTTATTACTTTCATTACAATTTTTCCCTGTCGGCAGAAATTCTTGTATATGTTCCCTGCACAGCAGATCAGCAGGTCTACCAACTCGATATGCTGAAGGACATAACACGGTGCATCGACCAATCCATGCATTCAACGGTAGGATAACACGCCTGGCCTCATCATAGACAACTTCACTAGAATGCCAGGCTTGTGGACATTTTGATGGTGAATCTATTCGAGACGGTTGAGGTATATCATAGGGACGTAGGAATAGACCACCTTCTAACCATGCAAAACCACTGAAACAAAAAAAAACAAAAAGAAAGGAAGAGATTTAAGTGGATTGGAAGAGAACTTCAGTTGTATATAAAGTCTATTATACTTTTCTCTCTCTCTTTCGCAGAGATCACAGTGAAGATGACGTCATAGTATTCTACTCGATATGGAAGTACAAAATGAAGTAATACGACAAAATAAAAGCAACAATCCGTTACGCAATATTTACTAATCAATACTTGAGTGTTATTTTTCTCAGACGTTTATCGTTTGCAAAGATTCGATCGATTTCATGTTAGACTGAGTACGACTGGAATACGACAAAGTAGAAAAGTGGAACAACAGCATTGAGCAGAAACGGTTTTCGGATCATTACATGAGCGAAAGTAACAAAAAAGAGATCGCACAAACTGTTTTCATATACATACATACACACACACACACACAAAAGTTCTTGTGTGTGGTTTTGCTGTGATTGCACAACTTTCACTGACCTTCTACAGACAACATATTCAATGTAGACATCAATACACAAAACGAACTTGTTTACATAAAAATGTATCGCCTGACAACATTTGTCACGATTGGTTGTCAATCAACCTAAATATTCCCATTGAATTATATAAAAAGAAAATAACTTCAGCAATATCAATCTCACTGAAGCTGTACAATATCATTTATACTGTCGCTAGAACTGTAAATTTTAGATAAATTATGCAACTCTAGACATCATAAACGAACATTGAGCATAGAATGGCAGTCAAACCTCACTCTACCTCAGATTCATTGACCAATTAGAAAAGGCCTTCGACAGACAGCGTTGACCGAGAGGTATTGTGGGAACTGCTTCAACACAACGGCGTGCAGTACTGCAAATGTTTATCAACCTCGTTCAACAGCTGGGTATATGACAATGCTACACGTGTCAGGTGATCCATAAGGGGAAACTCAGCAAAGCCTTTGAACTGAAGGCAGAAGTAAGACATCCTAATTGTGGTGGTATGTACTGCTCATCAGTCCGCTCCGTCCTCCTTTATGGTTGTGAGACCTGGCCACTGAGAGTGGAAGACATGAAAAGACTAGCTGTCTTTGATCATACGTGCCTACGTTCTATTTCCCGTGTAAAGTGGCATAATAAGGTGAGCAACATGGAGGTTAGGCGTAGAGTTCTAGGTAAACAGGGAAATCAATCGACGAAGTCGTGAAGCTACAAAGACTGAGATGGTTAGGACATGTGTTACGTATGCCAAGCCATCGCCTCTCTCGACGAGCTATGTTAGCGGATATAGGGTCAGGCTGGAAAAAAGCTAGCGGCGGTCAAACAAAAACTTGGCCCACCAGTCAATGAAATCCACAACAGTCGGTCTAAGCCACGTAGAAAGGTGTAGACTCCAGGCTGGGGTCCTCGGACGGTAAAAATCTATGGTTGGAAACAATTGGTGACATGGCTCAAAATCGTTCTCAGTGGCGCAGATGCACCCACTCCTTGTGACTTATGATCTCCAATAAAACTGTTTTGTTCTTCGTTATTACTCCTTTGTCTCACACCTCTGCTCACTGTTTCGATTATGCTTTTCTTGTACTTTCTTCTCTTGCTTCGCGTGCTACACGGAATGTGGCGACTTGAACTTCCGCACATTTGTGCAAAGTTCTATGTCGAAAACAGACAGACAGAGATTAGGCGTCAGACTATGGGACGTGGGAGTGAGGAGACAGGAATAAGCTGGACTGACTCCAGAAGATCTGGATTTCGTGGAGGAGGATTTATATTTAACGTCACATAGACTCAAAGACTTACAGGCGAAAAACAACAAGCTGGTTGAAGAGGCTGACAGCGAAGACAAGACTCCAGGTGAACATAGAGAAGACGGAGGTGATGAAGATAACCAACCAACCAGCACCAATTACTATCAACGGGAGATATTTGAAAGAGATTACTTGCTTCACTTATCCAGGAAGCATCGTCCCAACTACAGGCGGAATATGGAAGATGTCAAAGCAGGCTAGAATCGGAAACGTAAGATACATCTTCACCGATCTGAAATCGGTTTGGAAATGTTCCGCACTCTGCAGCATAAAGAACAAGATTAGGATTTTACATGTCAATGTCAAGTCAGTGAGTTTTTCTATATTGGTCAAAAACTTGGCGAGCGCTTCAGCGAAACCATTTACAACTGGCTAATGCAAACTTTAATCAACAGCGGTCACCTTCGCTGGTTTTATAATGAAGATCAATTGACCAGGGAGAAAAAATTAGCAACAAGAAACTTTCAGAACGAACCAGTCAAGAGCCTATCGCCCAACAAATATTCTGAAGAGAATGGGGATGTATTGAGCACACTCTGAGGAGACCGTCGAATGACACTGCGTGCAATGCAAGCCAGTGCTCGATAGGAACCCAAATGGGAAACAACGAGGTTGTCAGTGTCAGAGTGACATGAACATCGTGCGTGTTGGAGAAAGTGAGATTATGGGCAATCGTGGACCCAGTTGAAGAAGACAGTAGTGAATAGAAAAAAGTGGAGATGTGTTGTTGAAGTCCTATGTTCGAGTTGGAACCCAAAGGAACAACAATAATATAACAATTATAATAATCGGATAGATGGGGTGTTGAGGTCTCCAGTGTTAGGATAGATCATTAGTTTATTACAGTTGTTTGAATCTCTTCTGTTTTTTTTAACCTTTGTGTGCTATTGAAGAGTCTGTGTTTGGAGAATGATACCACTACAGTCTCTCTTCAGCGTATATGCAATCAATGATTGTAAATTTTGCACCACTATTTTCTTATGGTTTTTAATGACTTGCAATTCCAGCCATATCAAGGGGGGGCATCTAAGACCCTATATGAATTTCTTAATAAAGCGAGAGTTTGAGCTTTCGGATGAGCAGTGCCTCGGTTATGCCCAGATGTCTTTTGCTTAATCTAGAATTCAAAGGTGACACTGAAGCAGAACTCCTTGTTAAACACCCCTCCAAATCTCTGAGGAAGACATACTTCACCGCAAGCCTACGATTAACGTTTTCCTGCATGAAACTGTTCAGCCAGAACGCGAAAGACAAGCTGTCGCATTGGACCACTTCAACGTACATATACCAGTTTACCAGCTCTTACGGAGCTGAATACATTGGCCGTACCATGCACCAACTTGAAAAACGGGCTCGTGAACACTATTCAGCCTGGTTAGTAAAAGGAGAACGAAAACGTGTAAATAGTTCAGTGACAAAACATCTGGTCAATTCAGGAATTACAGTGGCATTAAAACCTACAAACTCACTCAGATAGGACAAGCTCTGTAGGTTAAAATAATATAATTTACAAAATATCCTGCAATGACTGTGAGTGAGGTAAACTACATAGGCCAGTCAAACTAGAAGATCAGGAGTAGTCAGACTGAATGTCAGAACATAAAAACTTAGCTACGGTAAGAATGGTCGACCCCGAGAAGATAAGTGTAATTTAGAAAAAAGCTCAGCAGCAATCACACTGCATACATTAACACACAACCAAACAATAGGGCGGTGAGAGAGGGTTAAAATTCTAAGAAGTAATATAGGTAGGTGGAAAGCGACAGAGATTGATTACGGAATCCTATTTATCGAATAATCACCACCCAACAGGTGCAACAGAAATGACTCAACGCAAATACCAGAGATATATATGTAAAATATTACCACCAGTCAAATCAGAGGATAATAAAATAGTGTTATTTACTATAAAAACACTCGTCTTATTTCCCACCTTATTAATTAACAACACTCGTGTTATTCGCATCGTATTATAATTATTGATAACACTAATATTATCTCCGAATGTACTTTATCTTCCATTCTGTTTCACGCATACCTTTTATTGATTTTTATTCATATGTGTCTGATCATCAATTTTTACTCACGTATACAAACGAAGCAAGAAAGTGATGTGAGAAGTGCCTTGATATGATGATTATGAGTAATAATAAATTGTGCTTGAAAGGTAGTCATTAGAAAATCTTACTGCATACACTGTGTGATTTTATCAAAATAAAATTTTATCCATAATGGAGTTATACTCTACCACCACAGTGAGTATCCTTATTTCATTAATAGAATTTCCATAGTTTCACAGTCACAAACGATGACCACATTTATCTACATGCATCGATATGAAAAAGAATACATGTCATATCATTGCTAGTTATCCCATCCTATCCAGGGAAAATGTACTTCATGTCCGTTTTTTTCAGGAAATACTGTCGAATGTTGTGAACGATTTTAAAGAGTACAGCATACATCACAACCTGTGTGTATGGCCACTATCAATCAACGGGATGTTGTGATGTATATATAGAGATGAGTTAATGACTCTTAAGCTCTCCTCTGCTCAGGTTATCTGGGAGATGCTTTCAAACGCCACAGCACATAAACCTTAACGAAAGTCTAGTGACTGACTGATTGATTTCAATGTAGAACCTTGCACAGATGGGTAGCATTTCGAGTTACCACTCTCCTTCAATGTAGCACACAAATCAAGAGAACAGAGTAAATAGAGATTCGAAAGAGACATAATAAATACAAATTGCAAAGATAAAAATAGTAATATGGAAGACCAATAGAGCTTCATTGGATATATCGAATCACAAAGAGTGAATGCACCTACGCTACCACCCACTGAAAACGACTTTGAGTCATATCACCAATTGTCTTCAGAATTCATTGATTCTTACCATTCAGAAAACACCAACCGGCCAACCAGTCTACATCAACCTATGTGGCTGTCTGTCTGGCTTAAAATAACTGTTATGGATTTCACAGACTGATGAAGCCATGTTTTGTTTTGACTACCAACCACTAACTCTTTTCTATGATGATTCATCCTATGTCAGTTAACATTTCCTATCCAGTAAGGCGATCGATTGCTGGGGATGCAAGCGTAACACATGTCCTAACCATCTCTCTCAATCGATGTAACTTCACAACTTCGTCGATTGACTGTCCCTCCCACTTACGTAGCACTCGACCGAAGCCTAACCTCAATACTGCTCACCTTATTATACCAATTAAACACGGGAAGTAGAAACCAGACACACCTATGATCAAAGACAGTTACCGGCCTTTTCGTATCTTCCACTTTCAATGGACATACAGGAGAGGGAGTGAGCGAACTGTTGAACAGTACACACGTCCTTTGGTTGATAACCGGATGGCGTAATATGTATAGCTAGCTATACAATAGGAGACAGATATATAAGTGTACACACACACACACATGAAATTGTACAAACAAAATAACATTTCTTTAACATTGAAATGCAATAGTGTGCGGTTTAAATCACTCCTATATTTCAAGTTTATACAAAAACAAGATGCGTTTTGTACATTTCGTTGTGCGAATGAAATTTCCGTCAAGTATTGGTTTTGTATGGATTTTGTTGGATTGGTTGGAGGATTTCATCATGAGCTGACATTAGTTAGAGAACCACTGGAAAACCTGGGAACACTGGACAGTCGTTTCGCCAGACTAGTTTAGGACTCTTCATCAGAACGCACCTACCACCAGGGTTCGAACCCAGGGTGAGCTCGTTGACCATTGGGCCACTGAGACCCGATCCAATGGCCAGCCCATGAATTCAAACTCCTGCCGATTCACGACACAGCGCGACCATTTCGCAATGTCTTCTTCGATGAGTTACTCCCTCATCTTCAACCTACTGTACCCTACTGGTCACGGCTACCCACTAGAACTCCAGGTTAACTAGTGAGCATCGGATTAATTTCCAAGTATTGGTTTTGTAGGGATTTTGTCTGATTGGATGGAGGATTTCATCATGAGCTGACATCAACAACAAAATTTACTCAGATTTTATCAGTGACTAAAATATGCATTTAAGAAGTACAAAAAATAAAGAAAAATACTTAGGTGAAAGTCATTATTTTCGCAAGGGTGAATGTTTGCACATATTGATGAAATTTGATTAGTCATCATGTACATGTGTATTTTTATTGTTATTTATTTATTTATTATTATGAAAGAATTTAATTTTATGATTATTGTTGTTCAAAGGTGAAAAAATTTATTGATTTTGTACAAGTAGACAACATTACCATATAGGTGATGATTTTACACATTGAATAATTTTATATTGATCATCCAATCGGACTGAATGCTTGAAATTTTCTGGGCAATAAGCAATGAAGTAAGTTTGAATATGTATCACTGAACTAGGATATATGAATTAAAGGTTAGATAAATAGAGTCACGCTAAAGTTTAAATAAGCCATGCACCAATGGTGTCAGCTGCTTTTCCTTCAAAAGACACGAGACTTCGGATGGTCGAAGGTAGTTAGTCTTAAACCTACCTCTTGATATCCTCTCAACGTAACCACGCGTGTGTTCATCGTAGCCGACTCTGTCACGTAACTCCTATTCAATCCAGTACCTTTAGGAGGTCTGTCTGTCTGTTTTCGACATAAAACTTTGCACTGATGTGCAGCAGTCAAAGTCGCCACACTCCCTCCATGTAGCACACAAAGCAAGAGAAAGTAGAAGAAATGCATAATACAGACAGTAGGCAGAAATATGAGACAAGAGGAATAGTAATAACGAAGAACAATGTAGTTTCATTGGAAATCATAAGTCACAAAGAGTGGATGCATCTGCACCAGTCAACCATTGAGAACGAGTTTGAGCCATATCACCGATGGTCTCCAGCCCTCATTGGTTTTTACCGTCCCGAAGACCCCAACCAGGAAGTCTACACCTTCCTACGTGGCTGGCTGACTGGCTTAAACTAACTGTTGTAGATTTCATTGACTGGTGCCATATTTTGGTTTGACCTTCGCTAGCTCTTTTCCAGCCTGACCCATCCTATGCCAGCTAACATTGCCTGTAGGTCGAGGAAGGCGATGACTAGGCATGCTTACGTAACACATGTCCTAACCATCTCAGTCGATTTAATTTCACAGCCTCGTCGATTGATTTCCCCTCTCACCTACTTACCTAGCACTCGACCTATGCCTAACCTCAATATTCCTCACCTTATTATACCACTTAACACACACGGAAGAAAGAACGCAGGCACCTATCATCAAAGACAGCCAGCTAGCCTTTTCATGTCTTCCAATCTCAATGGCCAGGTCAATGGCTGGAGACAATAGGTGATATGGCTCAAAATCGTTGTCAATGGCGCAGATGTATTCAATCTCTGTAATCTTTCATATTCCTTTCTACCATTACCCATTCTGTTTCACTCTTATATTTGTCAAACTCTGTTAATTCTCTTAACTCATCTTCTTGTCTACCTCTGTGTGCTATTTGGAACGTGGCAACTCGAACTGCTGCACTTCGGTGCCAAGTTCTATGTTGAATCCAGACAGACAGACAGACATGCCAGGTCTCGCCCACAGCCATAAAGGAGGACGCAGCGTACTTCTGAGCAGTAAACCCGCCCTTTGGTCGATAGTCGAATATCACGTCTACGCCTTTACGCGGTGGTTAAGCTGTTCTTCAGAAGAGAGAACGTTTGTCGCTTCAAAACTGGACTGACTGATGGACATGTAGGTCTACATCTATGAAACTGAAAAATCCTGATTCCGAAACTACGATGTACATGGGTAACACGATCCGAGCGGATCAAAGGGTTAATAATGAACGCAGATATACAGCTTTGCGATTGACACTTGAAATCAAAAGCCTGGTGGGAGGGATGGCCTTTTAAGACTAGGTAGTATCTCTGTTCTCACACAGAATATGAGATATTGTATGGTGCATCTGTTAAAGCCCATAATATACTAATTTCCCGTTTATTTTAAAATTAATAGCAGCTCTACAGCCTAGCCGATAAATGGATATGTTAAAAAAAGGTGGACGGACACTAAACGTTTTAGTACAACCCCCCCCCCGCCATTTATCACACCAGGCATTGTAGCCTATAAGTGATAAGTTTTCCAAATCTTCATCTAGCCCTAACACTAACGTAAAACACGACAGAAAGAAAGAACATTCTCATCAATAAAATAAAAAAAAATAGCCGGAACTCACTCAACATCCTTCCACAAACGGTATATTCGAACTATTACGCGATCATAAGCTGATTTCACTGGTGTTCGTTGAGATTGCTCTAAAAGCTCTTTGATATGCACTGATGGGATTATGCCTTTTGATATATCCTGAGAAGTATTTAAATGATCCAGCCAAAAACGATTAACAAATGCATAATCATCTGTACGAATTTGACATGTCCCATCTGGACTACCTAATGTCCAGAATTCATGTTCACCTTTTACTAATGTGTCTTGTAAATCAAACACAGCGTCTAAATCGTTTAAACTCATAGCTGCTGACAATGAACGTGGATATTCCTGAAATGCATAGAAATGAAAAGGCCAGTGAAACAATAATGAAATACGGGGGTAACAACAAACAAAGAAGAAAATGTTTTCGTTTGATAAAGTCCAATGGTAGTTACGTTAGGAGCTCTGACACGCAACAAACTCCAACTAAGAACCTCTATCGCCCAATATGGATTGGACATACATTGAGGAGACTCTTAAGTCACATATCATGCGGCAGGCCCTGGAATGGAATCCAATGGGGAATAATAAGTTTAGCACAGGTCCGAGGATGATATGGGGGAGGGTTCGCATTAGAAGGGAATGAAATATCATGCGCAACAGAGGAGCCAGCTAAATGGTACTGTAGAGAACAGTGAAATAGTTAATTTGGCGCTGCTGAAGGAAGATATTCCGCTCATCCCACAAGCTGACATGTGAGCACATATATTTCTCTATGAATGTGATTTTTTGGTTACAGGATTTCATAATGAACTGACATCAGCTAGAGAACCATCGGAAAACGTGAGAGTACTGGACAGCTGTTTCGTCAGCATAGTTTGGAACTCCTCACAGTACGCACCCACCTCCAGGGTTCGAACACAGGCTAGCGAGCTAGTAGGCCATTAAGCCACTTGGACCTCATCCGATGGCACATGAATTTCAACTTCTGCCAATTCATTATACAGTGCGACTGTAAGCCAATATCTTCGGTGAGTATTTGTCCTCACACCCGACTTCCCACTAGAACTACCTAACTCAATAGGACCAGTCACTAGTGAGCACCTCATTGATATTCAAGTATTGTTTTGTAAGGATCTGATTGATTGGTTACAGGATTTCCTGTTACTTGAACGTGATTTTTTTAGACAGGCTAAATAATCTTTCCACAAAAAGTATATATTAGGATAAAAGAAACTACTGCTTAGTATTATCATAGCTGCGAGCGAAGTACTGATCACTCATTTCCACCATTATCCCATCTAAGCATTTTAAAAATTTCCACATAGGATAGGAAATATATATTAACTTTGATTAATCCCTATGGAGTAAGCAAAGTCATGTGTTTAGTCCTTGGTGTGCGTGCTAACTGCATCCTACGATGTAGTCAACTAAACAAGATAAATCACCAATGTGGTCAGCAGCCTTTGAAATGAGCGCAGGTGGTTGGAGCTAAGAGGTAGAAAATCGAGGATCTACATTGACAGTGCTTGTTACCAGTCTTCGTCAGGAAGGCTTTTGTGCAACTTAATCTCTGTAGGTCGTCGGAAGAAAAACAGTTTTAAAAAGTACTTTTATTAAGTCGTGAATCACATTAAGTACTTAATCAACAGGTCTGAATTCTATTACCTGGAACAGCTAAGAGCCACACACACACACGCGCTTATCGTGTGAGGGTTGATGATTCCACTCAGTTTCCGAGGCTGAAGTAAGTTAAGAAATTTAGCATTACATCAATATCAAGTCCACTGACCTTATCCACAATTATTTTACATTATTAATATTATTATTCCCTTGGGTTCCGAGTCGAACATAAGGCTTCAACAACACACCTCTACTTTGTTCTATTTACTCCCCTTCTCTCTAGAGGGGCCTACTATTGACTATAGCCTCTCATCTTCTCCCCATACGATTTCCTCTACGTCACCGTCGCACTGATGACCCACTTCTCGTTTCTCATTCGGATTCCACTCGAATGATGGCCTGGTGCACGAAATTATTTTACATAATTCAAATTAAGTGGACGTTTCAAATTTACCCTAAATTATCTGCTTCCTACTTCGGATCACATATTCAGATGATCAAAATAAACACCGACTATCAAATAATGTCAACCAATTCAAATAGACCGTGTGACCAGCCTCAAAGAAGTTGTCCCATGAGCGCTACTGTCACGTAATACCAATATTCTTTCTGTTTAGGTACCCCGATAAAAAATCGACTTCCATGGTGTAGGCAGACGGAAATCGACAACCCCACACCCACACTTCCGGAAGCCCTCAAGCACTTCGAAATGGTAGAATGCTTGCCAACCGTGCAAATTTCATAGGTCCAATGGTCGACTGATTCACCCCCACACCTCACCCAACTTACTAGCCAATCAGTAATGAACCCAGAATAGACAGAAGGCTGACAACGCCCACTCCAAGGAAAAGACTACATCACTCCATGTTCCACATGGAATATTACAAGAAGATATGAAGTTTCTGCTAACATATAGCGGAAGATACAGATCAACTTTATTTTTGGAAACGCATGTGGTGTTCTCTATCGGTCAAGAAATAGATGAATACTGAAACCACAGTGAAAACTTTGCGGATATTCTGAAGACAAGGTACCTCAGACTACAACAAGGTGAAGCGTTCGAGAGAAAAGTAATACACTCTCATGAGCAAACTTACTTTCGTCAAATTATCCAATTTCAAGCATACTGGACAGATGTATGGCGCATCAGCTTCTCGATCAGCACTACCACCACCACCTTCTGATTTGACATCATTACCCTCTCCTGTACTGCCAACAGCTTGAGCAGCAATCAGCGCAGTTTGACACAGACATGCCAAATTTGAATTTCTTCCATCATTTGTATCATTTCGAATAGCAAGACTGAGTGCCCACCATAAACATGGGAGATGTTGCCAAGATGCACAACGATCACACTGAACCATAACATGACCACCTTCAACACGAAAACCGCATAAACATCGGATAACCTCAGCACCACGTTCCAAAGCACGACGATCAGCCTACAATAATAAAGATGCATAGTGAGAAACGCGACTATAAAACCTTTTCAAAGATAAATAATGTAAGGTTAGTATTACTCTCCAGGCCAGTAATGAGATGCAAACAACTTCAAAATTTGTGAAACAAATTGCATCATTTTTCAAATTCAGTCATCGCACGACAAATCCTTGATGAACTGATTTCTGATAATACAGGCTAACAAGAATCGTAGTCGATTGCAAAATGGAATAAAGATAGTAGTTGGATTACAAACTGTACCAATATGTTTATAAATCTCTACCCCCTTATTACTTACTAGTGTTGTTAACTTGATTACCGTTCACGTTTTAGTTGAATTTTACACAACCCCGTCAATAATATTACGTCACGTAAGTTAGTTATTTAGTTTCTACTCGATTGACACCTTCTACATTACGTAACAGTCTGGTTGTTTTCGAAATAGAACTTTGCACTTATGTGCAGCTGTTCAAGTCGCCACACTCCCTCCATGTAGCACACAAAGAAGAGTAGACAGTAAAAAGAAATGCACAATAGAGACAGTAAACAGAGGTGTGAGACAAAGGAATAGTAATAACGAAGAACAATAAAGTTTCATTGGAAATCATAAGTCACAAGGAGTGGATGCATCTGCGCTGTCATTGACAGCGATTTCGAGCCATGTCACCAATTGTTTCCAACCATTGGCTTTTACAGTCCCGAGGACCCCAACCAGGAAGTCTACACCTTCCTACGTGACTTAAACTGACTGTTGTGAATTTGATAGACTGATGAAGCCACGCTTTGGTTTGACCGCCGCTAGCTCTTTTCCTGCCTGACCCATCCTATGTCAGCTAACATTGCCTGTAGGTCGAGGAAGGCGATGACTAGGCATGCTTACGTAACACATGTCCTAACCATCTCAGTCGATTTAATTTCACAGCCTTGTCGACTGATTTCCCCTCTCACCTACTTACCTAGCACTCGACCTATGCCTAACCTCAATATTCCTCACCTTATTATACCACTTAACACACACGGGAGAAAGAACGCAGGCACCTATCATCAAAGACAGCCAGCTAACCTTTTCATGTCTTCCACTCTCAATGGTCAGGTCTCACTCACAGCCAGCATTAAAGGAGGACGCAGCGGACTTCTGAGCAGTACACATGGCCTTTGGTCGATAGATGGATATCGCCACAGACGGTGTAAACTGGCATATGCGAAACTAGCCCTCCGTGCTGGCTATCCAAAATCTGCAATTCTAATGACAAATCTTTCTGGAAATATTCCTTTTGTTGCTAAGAAAATTGACTATATACACATGAGATTGTACAGCCTGAGAATAATATCGCTGATGAAAAAAAGAGTGACTCTTCGCTGAATCCCTTTCCTTATATGCACCGACAGACACATAGAGTTGACTGTATAACTGCAGTGAATGAATCCCTCCACCAGGAGGTCTTTTCTCTGCATTACTTTTCATAGACATTAAAATCATGCTAACGGAATTGAACGTCGATATTGAAATGGGATTTAGACATTGTGGTAGAGTATGATGGCATCATAGAGTAATACTAATGAATAAAAACCACACAGTGATATATAATTTATTTTATGATAACCTCGTTCTGAGCACAATTTACTGCTACTCATAATCATATCTAGGTGTTCACACAACTTTCAGTCCGCGTCTATATATAATTTCGTCATTTCTTATCCTTTAACTTTTATTGGTAGTAGTAACATTTTCCGGAACACGTTAATAATACGATGCTTCTTTTCTCCTCTTCTCCCATTAGCAGTGAAACCGCGTGATTTGTAGTTCCCTTGAATGTGGATGTATGAAGCTTCATGTATGAGCTGTTCAACTGTCGTTGTCGTAACTGACCACTTTATTTATTTAGTGGGCTTATGATAATAAGTTTATTGTGCTCCTTTTCTCGACAAGGACTTCCTAAAAAGGCGAGCTCCGCTGTCTAATTTATTTTCCCTCGTGTGAGTTAGGTGTCGTATTGTAAACACTTGCTCGTCACACAAATGTTTACTACCCTCTTACATGAAAAACAAAATTGTTTATACATGTGATTGTACTGCTGCAGTAGAAAATGAATTCACCCAAAAGGTGTCTGTTTGCTGAACTACATATTTTTTCCCTCCTTTCTCTGCTCGAATTCGAAACAAATCACCATCAGTATGTCATTTTGACGAGATAAGACATAGTCTGGTAACTCACTATCATAATTTACACTGACATCCTTCATGAAATATACACAGGTGCAACTTGTTATGTTCTTTGAAAATTCGCCCAAGTTGGAATTAGTGGTGTTCTCTGAGCATGTTGGTTTAATTGCGAAGCTTTCATCATCCTCCTGGACGACATCTTCAGTGCAAGTTTTAGCACAAAATGAAGTGATTTAAATTCTTCATGAATAATAGAATTGTGTCTACTAGCAGCAACCACCTTCGTAACTGGTAGTCGATTTACATCTGTATCGATCATTTTTATTTACTTGGATTTTGGACTTTCTCGTCACATGATTTGCTTCCTATTAGTTCATAGATTTTGTCTATATTAATATGTTTGTTAATCGCTGATTTACTTGAGTACCAGGCTTACTGGAATTCCCTGGTACATTTTGGGATTCCTCTATTTAGAATTTTGACATTATCCCAATCAAAATGGTGTCCATTTTATGCTAAAACCTGGGGTGAAGATGTTGTCCAGAAGGCTTTGCAATGAAACCAACCAGCTCAGAGAACATCACTAATTCTAAATCACCTAAGTACAAATTACAAATTAAAATAGTAACTTAGTTCATCAAAACAAAACTATCTTCATGAATCCAGAATTCGAAGAAGTTAAACTAGCTTAGCCAAAGTCACAGTAACATTGAACAACCAATCAGAACTCAGAAGCAAAAAGTTGCATCATCGTTTAAAAGTACAATAAAAAACATTGCAGACATGGTATTACACTGGATAATTGTCTCTTATGTATTGTAAGAATGTCCCCCTTCCGTGGAGTGCCACGGATAACCTATAGAGAATCCAACCATGCTCGACAGATGTATTTATCCATCGACTGCAGATCAGAGTGCTTTAAGATCCGCTGATATTTCTGATACTGTTCTTTAACCTATCTCTAACTATGGCTGTAATCCTAATCTCTAGTCTTAACGCTAAACCTAATTTTAATCTTAACTCTAGATCTTAACCTTAATGTTAAAAACCATAACCCTACCTAACAGTACACATTTACAGAAATAGTAGCTAGGGATAAAATTGTAGGTTGTATCTTCCCTCACCTAATCTATAAAGCCAGGTATGACTTGATTTGGAATGGCATTTCATAGCGTTTTCTAGATCTGATTGGTTCTTGAAAGTCAACTTTTGACAGGTCTCAACTTTAGGTATTTATACACTAACTACGCCCAGAATTCAAAAGTGACGGGGGTATCAGATATATACTCAAAAATCATCTTACCAAATCAGTCAGTAAGATTTTCTTTTTAAAGAGAAACTCCGATAGATCTTAACCAGTCGTTATTTATCCTCTGTTTGTGTAAAAAATGAACTCGCTCATCTGACTACCTCTCTATGTGCAACTATCTATCAGTTCACCTGCCTTTGTAGAGCAAGGCACATAGACGACGGTAGCCAAAGAATGCTAGGTTGAGTCGAAACGGTGAGAAACTTTTATCCACAAGAGGAACTGAACAAATAACTTTTTTTAATTTAGTAGACAATGGGGTTAGCAGTGAAATTCAGGAGCGGCTCATTTCATCCAATTTTGGACTACTCAGATTAAATAATACATCGGCATTCCCAGTGAGACTCCAACCCAGCACCCACCCATCTTGTTTCAAACACCTCCATGGACGGAGAGCCACCAACCTTTTGTGCATAAGCTTTCGACACTTACATATTTAAAAAAAATCAAATTTGTATTCCCGTCGTTGAGACTGACGAGTCATAAATTGGAGGAAATGGGCACATCCTAGATTCCACTGCTGGTCACAATCATCCACTAGCAAAAATAACGAAAATGTTAGTCTTCAAACATTGTCCAAGAAGCATCCACACTAGGGAGAGCTGATAAGTCAGTAGAGACCGAACACTGTGGTTCAACATAAATTAACAATCAATCAGCGGGGAATATACAATATGAAATTAAAAACAAATAACTTTTTCTGTCTCATTTTTAAGCGAGTTTACGGTGAATTTTGTGCTTGCAAACGGGACTAGGGGGAGGTGCACACCCTCACCTCCCTAAGTCAGTTGCAAGCTCAAAAAAAGGGACGGTTGGGCCATGGGACTAGAGAAACCTCACTCTGTAAAAAACCTACTGCTGGTGAAACTTCAAAGCTCAAGTGTGAAGTCTTATGTTTCACTTGGAACGCATGGGAGTAAAATAATTTCTTTAAAAAAATTGTGTTTATGTAAACACTAACTACACGATGTGGCTTTTTGACCTAAGCAAATTCGGTGAGAATTCAAGTCTAGCTAGCTCCAAAATACTTCACAACCTGGGTGGCTTGGAAAAGCATCACCCACTGCCCCCCCCCCACATTAATAGAGGTATTATAATTATGGCCTGGGATAAATGGAGACTCTCCGTTTCAGGTAAAGTAAAATCAAGACACCCATTGAAAATTTTTAATACACATACGAAGCCAGAAATACGTCATATATCCTTCCTAAAATAAAGTTTGGCACTTAATATAAAGAACAATACAGTAAATGAAGTGACACAACGGGTGCTCTTTGACAAAATGTGAAATAGACAATCATCACACTTTAATCACTAACCTTCTTCTTTGTAGTGCTGTTTTGAAATTTACTTCCAGTCGGTACAAGTGATTTAGGCATAGCAACGGGTACGCAGTTTTGAAGTTTTAAACACTCGACCATATCAGTCTAAAATAACAGAAGAGACATAGAGATGAAAAAGAAAGCTGTATAATGATAGCAAGTAATTCACGGTAACACATACCATGACATTGGAGATTTTTGTTAAAAACCAGAAACTGGTGATTATTAGTATGCATATGGTGAAGTGATGGTGAAAATGACTTGAAATCATCTTTTCTAACAGAATCATGTTGAGTACGGATACAATGATGAGGTAGTACATTAAATAATTAAGAAAACAAAACACGTTTTAAGTTCTTATCCGCCTCAAATATTATTCATTGCTTTTGTAACGGTAAAAGACAAGGGCTTGGTGAAGGAATGTTTATTTAGAATTTGGTATTGCGATGTAGCCATATTATATACAACTTATCTATCTTCAACGTGCCATTTGCATTTAACTTACGTGTTGTACTACTTCTGGCCTTCATATTATGTTTCTTTGTGTTCCCTTCACGTCTCCCATGTAGCTCCACGATGCTGTCTCATTTCCTTTTTCTGACATGAAATCTATCTTCCTACAATTTGATGTTTTTATGCTGATGAACGTTTCTTTATATGCTACTGATAAGATTTATCAGTAGCACACGCAATACTAACATTGCGAGGTGGTTTTCCCATTTAACTGAAGTGATGAATTGCATTATCCATCATGGGGTCAATAGAATAGGATTATGTAACGACTTAAACGGGTGGGTTAGAGAAAAGTATTCCAAAGCAATGGTAGCCATAAGCTCTAGAATCCTTAGGAATATACATTGTATCCTAATAACATCGTGGAATACTCGCTGCTCCAAGTAAACACTGTGAGTTGAAGGCTTAGAAACAGTTTCCAGTGACAACTCTCAGATTCGTCTCGCATGCAAAATAGTAAGGTGACAATTAAAACGGACACTTTAAAATGAACATTCAACCTCGAAAAAAATTATATCCAGAAATATACCATTTACTGACACTAACTTCTAAATGGTTGTCCCTACCCCACCATGATGATTGTAACCTTTCAATACATGTCAGTCACCGATGTCTGAATTATTCTGAGTTATTATTTAACAATTTACTTGGGTGAAACTGTCTTTCTGTTTGATAACTACCACAGGCAGGCTGAAAACACCCTGGCAACTACATGTACCAATAGTCATTACCTTTGTCGGAATGTTAGCAACTAATACCAATTCACCCACCAAGCTTGAAGGGTGACGATGAATACTATTGAAAAAGGTGTAATAATTGAAATGCTAGGGGATTCACTTTTTATAGCCCAAAGAGAGATAAAAGTTAGTAGTTTCATGCCACAATGTCGCATTACTGACTGGTTACAACGTAGAACTTTGCAGCGATGTGCAGCGGTTCAACTTGCTACACTGCATATGGCACACAAAGCAAGAGAAGAGATTATAGCGGCGTTCAAAAGAACAGATGTGTGAGTGACAGAAATAAAGGAAGTAGAAGTAATACGGAATAACAATAGAGTTCTACCGGATATGACAAATCACAAAGAGTGAATGCACCTTCGCCACCACTCAATGAGAACGATTTTCAGCCATACCACCGATGATAATTGTCTCCAGCCTTCATTGGTTATTACCATCCTGAGCACCCCCCCCAACCAAGCAGTCAGTCAGTCTACATCTCCTACGTGATTGGCTGGCTTGAACTAACTGTTATGTATTTCATTGACTGATGAAACCATGTTTTGGTTTGACCACCACCAGAACTTTTCCAACATATTTTTAAATCAATTAATATTGGCTTTCCGCGAAGGAGATGGCTCGGAATGCATAACACATGTCCTAACCATCTCTCTCTCAATCGATGTAACTTCACAACCTTGTCGACTGACTTTCCTTCCTTACCTAACACTCGACAGAAGCCTAACCTCAATATCACTCACTCTATCATACCTACCACCTAAGACAAGAGACAGAACGTGGACACCCATGATCAAAGAAAAATAGCTAGCCCGGCTTTTCATGTCTTTCACTTTCAATGGTCATGCCTCGCTCACAGCCAGCCATAAAGGAGGGGGACAGAGCGAACTGCTGGAAGTACACCAGTTCTTTGATCGATAACTAGGTGAATATATGTCTATACCAGAGATGGAGTAAGTTGGGGAATGCCGAACGAGCCTTCTGCATACATGATGAGATTTAGTCAGTGATCAACCCGCTGGGGCTGGCTGATGCAACCTCCCACCCAAATAAGCGAATTGGTCAACTCGCTCCACCACTTCACTACCTATCTTTAAGCTATAAATCAACGTCGCGCTGACTATTAGTTGTATACACTGTAGCATCAAGATACCACCTTGGATTTATTCGGAAGATTTAAATGTGGTATAACGATTTGAAAAGCAAAGTGATTTTGTTCGGAATTCTAGTGGGTTTTCCGGTATTCTTTACAATTAATATCAACACGAAAAATAACACACTTTTTTAGAGTGTACCTTGCGTGATTGCTTTTATTTAACTATATATTATCATTGAAATATAAATCTCTAATTTCCTGTCAGTTTTATATTGTCACACAATCTGTGGGATGTTTTACTTTATTCCTTTGGCGTCCTGAGTGGAAAAATGAGCCTCCAGTTTTAAGCTTCGAAGTTTCGGTAGTGGTTGTGATGCTTTTTTAACAGGATAGCGCATTTGCTAATCTCACATGCCCAAACTTCCTTCTTTTTTGAACTTATTACGCACTAGGTGAGGGGGGGGGAGAGGTGGTAACGGGTGCGTTTAACGGGGGAAGTGAACCTCGACTAGGTGTGTGCCTGGCAAGCATTCTACACCTGAACCAGCGCGACGCCCAATCTGTGTGACATTGGGGAAACATTATCTAGAATACATCACGAAGACTCCACTAGCATAACAGGCGCGCAGGATCACATAAGACGGCAAAAAAACACAAGGATTAATTTTTTTTAGAAATATACATAAAAACTTACACGATGCTTTACATAAACACTTTTCAACTGTGATAAACGTCGGCCGAACCAACTACGACGTCCAGTAAAAGCTTCCCATACAGAGAATATATTATCCATACATATATCCAGGATGTGTAAACTCTCCATAAAATCAGTAGAATTTGTTACAATTTTATAAGAATTCTCTTCTGCTTCTGAAAGTTCTAAATTCAATGGAACTACTCCTACTATAGATGTAGAATCAGTCATATTCTCCTCTGTACTGTTATTATTATTATTATTGTTCATTACAAATCTTGACGCAATACTAGCTAAGCACAGAGAAGGGAATTCAATGTTGTAAATTTCATCATCCATTATTCTATTATCATTATCACTGCATGGAAAACTGATTGGAGAAAATAAACGATTGATAAATCCGGCTGTGAATTTCACTTGTAGCCCAGAACCAGAGAGATGAGACGACAGGGTGAATCGATAGAATTCTGGATATCTGAAACAGAAAAGTCATATTATAAATAAAGGTAGGCTCAAGATAATGAGAAGTTTTGAGGATTAAATGGGATTAACTCTCTAAAAAGTGACATTCATGTAAATAGGATACATTATGAACCGTAGCAGAACACACATAAACACACACACACACACAAATAAACAAACAACGCAACATGCATTACAACACATCAATCCAGATACCTGAGAATTAGTCTGATGTACGTTAGTGACTGGTTAAAGAATGGAGTTGTAATGAGTTTCAGTGAGAAGTCGTAACCACCAGTGAGATCCACCAACAGGTCAGGAGTGAGGGCGAATACTAGCCAGCAATAACACTGGCTGGTGCTAATCACGCTAAAAATCACCAACTGACAAGAGTTAGAATTCATCGGCTGGCCGTTGCGGTGGGTTCCAGTAGCTGAATGGTCTACGAGCTCGCCTTGTAACCTTAAGGTCCTGGGTTCGAAGCCGGGTGAGTGAGTACTGCCGATGGGTCCAATACTAGAACGAGGCTGCTGTCCAGTACTCCTTGTCGGCTTTCAATGGTTCTCTAACTGATATTAATCCGTTGTCAAACTTATCATCAAATGTCACAAATTATACGGGAGAAATGGTCCACACATGCACCCCACAGTGTTCATCAAAAGGAACGTTACTACACAAACGTAGAGGATATACACTTCACAAGTTAAATATACTTCGCTGACTAGCTTACTGTCACATTCCACAGACGCCCCTATGTTTCTAGTAAGCTCTAAGACTGTGTAGGAAAAGTGAAAGGATGGTTAGTCGATGAGAAAGCGCACCATTGTTTCTCCATAGAGTCGCTCGGTGAAGTTATCCAAACCACTGGGTCCTGAAGTTATCATCAAATATGATGACTGACAATCATAATCAGTGGTAGAGATGATGCTTCAATTCCACGACAAAGTAACACGACATGACGAACACTCCATAAATGCTCACCTATTCTGATGATTATGTTCCTCAACTATTCAACTTCATCCCCAAATATTGTTTTAATTAATTTATTTTTTTGTGGTACTCGTCTTATTGAAAGTATACAGTACCATGTTTGGGTAATAGTGATGATAATAGATAAATGACTAACTTACCTGAGAATATTTCCCAGTATGGCTAAGTACAGTGTACTAAAAACCATCAGCAGTTCGCCATTGGACCATCTATTCCAAACCAGCCACAAAGCCAGCCAGAGTGGAAGAATCCTTCTCTATCATCTCTGGGTGCCAAATAAATTGTCAAAGATTCCAGATATCGCATACTCCAAACAGCAGAGGCTATCGTGATTCGCCTAAGACAACCGATGCTTTGTGTGCAAAAGAAGCAAGTCCAGCCAGTCACTATTACTGCCCTGGCTGGCCCTCAGTAGAGACTATGTGAATTCATTAATTTGTATGCGTATTGTTTTTTCTCACTTTTCTGACACTCAGTGTGTAGTGTTATGTTGATGCTATCGAACTGCAATCTATTGATATTATTTTTATTATTGATTCGATGTTATTTAAACAACGTTAATGTTGTTGATAGTACTAATTCATCCACTATTATGTATGCATAATTGTAGAACCTGATGACTAGCAGGTCATCGGAAAGAATATTTGATATATATATGGTGGTCTCTCTTTCTGTTGCTCTCTTAGTCTGTGACCATTTCACTTTGATGAACCTGTCTCCTTTATCAATGTATATTCCCCCTATATTATATATAATGTGTGTTTGTTTGACATGTCTGTTATACTTTGCTATGTATATATGGATCGATATTCCATTATAATTAACCAATCATGTTAAGACTGTCTATTGATTTGTTCATTTTGAATATTCGCTCACACACTTGTTCGGACATTCATATATATTTTGCTCTCACACTCTTGTGTGATATATTGATTCTCCTGGTGTTTGGAAAATAGAAGTATCATCGCAAACCTAGTGGTCTTCTGATTTCCGTCTTTCTTGCGTCAGGACTATTAAATTCTCGACCAATACATAACAATATTCTTTGTTTAGTAACCATTCTTTTGACAAAAAGTTCTTATTACGTCTAGATATACTAATAGAGAGGAATCCACCCACATCACTAATCTCTATTTTTCATCCATCAATGAAAGTATAACCAATCGTAATCACAGTATATCAGAATCATTAAGATGTCAATCGACAATCCATTTTGTAATTGAGATTAGAATAGCGGCAGGCAAATTATCTTACACTCCTTTATAATAAACTTTGTCGCAAACAAAACATTCCATAAAAACAACGGTCATCTATCTCTATGGAGTTTAGGCGTAAAATCATTAAACACAACAAAAATGCAACAAGTAAAAAGGTTTTGAAAAATATTGGGGGTTAGAGTACCAGGAAAGTTTCTCTGACATGCAATGGAACTACCAGCACCACCGTCCCCATCAAGAACACACACACCTATCACCGCCTAACAAGATATACAGAAAGCAATGGGGATGAATTTGGACATAGGCACAACACACAAGATATACCCTCGAAGTGGAAAACGGCATCACTTCGAGGGTGACATAAAGAAGATCGTGGAAGGATGAAATGAAAGGCTTAAAGGTAGGGAACTGTGGAAGCAGCTCAAAGAAAGGGATGGCAGAGAACAGATTGAATTGGAGATGCACTGTTGAAGCCCTATGTTCCGCACGGAAGCCAAGATGATAGTAATACTAACCAAAAAAACAAAAATACATTTTGCAGTTGTTGTTGTCGAATTACTTACCTTTCAGGTGATGGCAAATAAATGATAGGAGAACACAGTCGATAATTTGGTTCAAGAGGATCAGGTTCATTGAAGAATCGACAGAATAATTCATACAATGGACCAGTTAACGATTTATCCTTGAGGAAAGGAATTTGATCAAGGCTGCAAAATAGGAAAAGAGCAGAAAACAGATTGAACAGAAAGTAATAAACTTGAATAATTAACTATATATATATATATATATATATATGAAATTGTGGAACTGTTTATTTAAAGACATTGTGATAAAACAAATATCATTATTCACACATAGAGACGACAGAAGGCGTCTTTATAGCCATAAAATTAAATGGACATCAAGATAACAGAAAACAAACCAAAAATAACTCGTCTAAATCAATATCCGGAGAAATGTAGAAATTGTAGCAAACACTGCACGAAACAATACATAAACCCAAAAATCCTCTACGCCTTAGATATATTGTCAGTGTATAGATCTCCAACACATACACTGGCTAAATGGTTACTTAGTAGATGTATTGCGCCCGGCAAAATCAAAATCCAATTCTATAAGTATGTATTAAAGAAGACATTTGAACTGATTAATTATCTTGTTACGTTGGTGGCACAGCGGTAGAATGCTCGCCGACCTTGCAAGCGGTCCGGGGTTCGAGCCTTGGCCGATGCACTCCTTTACCTCGCTAAGCCAGTAATAAGACTGGTAAAGAGGAAAGGTTGGGCGTGGGGCTAGCAACCCTATCCCGTGAAAGTAAACACCACTGCTACCGAAACTTCAAGTCTCCAGCTTGAAGTCCTATGCTCCACTGGGAACGTAAAGGAATTATATATATATATATATATATATATATATAATTTTTCCTTCACGTTCCCCAGTGCAACATAGGGCTTCAAGCTAGCGGCCTGAAGTTTCTGTAGCAATGTTTATTTTACAGGATGGGGTGGCTAGCCTCATGCCCAACCTTTCCTCTTTACCAGCATTATTTCTGGCTCAACGATGTAAAGGAGTGCGTCGGCCGGGGATCGAACCCTGGACCATGCGCATGGTCGGCGAGCGTCCTAACCGCTATACCACCGACGCATATATATATATATATATATTATATACTATCTTGATGATATTAATACTATGATAACATAAGTTACGGGATTTCACCATGAGCTGACATTGGTTAGAGAACCATTGGAAAACCTGGGAGTACTGGACAGCTGTTTCGCCCTAGTTTGGGACTCTTCAGCAGTACGCACCCACAGGGGTTCGAACCCAGAACCTTCTGGTTACAAGGAGAGCTCGTATACCATTAAGCCACTGGGACCCCATCCCATGGCCCATGAATTCTAACTTCTGCCAATTCACGACATAGCTCGACGCCTAGTCAATGTCTTCGGCGAGTATTTGTCCTCACACTCGACCTGTTGCACCCCACTCGTCACGATTTCTCACAAGAACCCCGGTAGGTGCGTGCTGATGAAGAGTCACAAACTAGGACGAAACACCTATCCAGTACTCCTAGGTTTTCCAATGGTTCCGTAACTAATGACAGCTCATGATGAAATCCTGTACACTGAATAATTGTTCTTTCTTTATTTATTTCATTCCTTTACGGCCTAGCTGGAGTATAGGTCTTCAAGTTAGAGCTTTGAAGTTTCGGTTGGCAGTCTCACCTAACCCAACCTTCCCTTTTTACCAGCCTTACTACAGGCTTAGTGAGGTCGAGGAGTACATCGTAGTTAGCGAGCGTCCTACAGCTGAACAATCGACTCATCACTGGTATAAATAAAATGAATGAATAATTAATCAATCAAAACGGTGAACAATTTACCTTGAAATAAGGGAATCTTTGAAGAAACTATTTCGACTTGGTAAACGATCAGATTTTTGATTAATTGATGATGATATCTGAGAAGCAGAAGTAGAAGAAGAGGAATGAATGCCTAATCTAAAAGATGTATTTTGACCAGTTGAATGAATTTCAGACAACTTGGTTTTAACATTAGACGTTGGCATTAAACGCTTTTTGTTCGTTTGTTTTGTAGAAATCTTTGATGATTTTAATGAAGGCAGTGATGAATCTGTAGGGTTATTGGATGAGGGATCATTATTGTCAACCTAGAGAAAAAAACGAGCATAAATCAGGTTTTTTTCTTTAATTAGTGAGAATATAAGAAAAACCAAGTAGTCGAGAAAAATAACTCAAACATATAATAATAATAATTTCTTAGACTTTCAACAAAAAACTACGGAGTACAAAAACTTACTGACTGAATATCAACGTACAACTTTGTACAGAAATGCACTACCAGTTCACGTTACCACACTCCACATGCAGTAAAAGAACTTCAAAATGAGTGGAAGATATACAAGACTTAACTATCTGTCTCTGATTATAAGTGTCTGTGTTCTATCTCCCTTGTTAAGTGGCGTAATACAAATAGGGTGAGTAATATTGAGCTTAAGCATCAGTCGAGTGCTATGTAGATGGGAGAGACAGTCAATCGAAGAGGTTGTGAAGTTACATCGATTGAGACAGATGGTTAGGAAATGTGTTACGCATGCATCCCCCCTAGACCTCTTAGCCATCGACTGCCTTACCCGATAACGGCCAATGTTAGCTGACTGGTACAGGATCGATCAGTTTGTTGGGATAGAGCCAGTGGTATGGTGGTGGTCCAAAGGAAACATGGCTTCATCAGTCAATAAAATCCATAACAGTTGGTTTAAGCAAGACAGCCAACCACCGTAAGGAGGTGTACACTAACTGGTTACTTGGTTGGGTTCCTCTGCATGGAGACAATTTTTTTTTTTTTTGATTTACAGCTTGATTCCACACTGTATTTTTGGTACAAGTATGGAATTTTCAGCATGGATATCGGTAGCCCAAATTTTGCAGGCCAACCATAGATATCAGGTGTGCGCCGGCGTGGGCTCGAACCCCGGACCATGTGCATGGTCGGCGAGAGTCCTAACCACTGTGCCACCGACGCACAATTATCAATGATATGGCTGCAAATCGTTTTCAGTGAGTGATGGCGTAGGTGCATTCACACTTTGTGAATTGTCACATCCAACAAAACTCTGTTGTTCTTCCATTTTACTATACTGTTCCCCATCACACACACACAACTTCTGTTTGTTATCTCTCTTTTGAATCTCTCTTCGGTTGATTCGTGTGTGTGTGTATATGAGTCAAAAACAAAGCTGATACTCTACTCTGCATGTGGAAATCTCCTGCAGTTCTCGAAACATTAAACGACTAATTATTGAAGACACTATTGGTAACATGGTTCAAAAGTTGTTCCCAATGGCGCGCAGAAAAATTAACTCTTCTTCACGAATTCTCCTAGATCCATCAACTCATTATTCTACAAGTACTTATTCTATCTCCTGTACATTTCCCCGTCTATTCACGGTATAGTTCCGTTAAATTTTCTATGTAGCTTTGTGAGCTATAACGTAACTACTCAGCTGCCTACTGGAACTGACGTGCTCTTTGTGTGAAGTTCTATGCTGAAGTCTAAGTCAGGATGGGAATGTGGCAAAATAAACATTCAAAACACAGTGAAGCAGCGAAAGACAATCTTTGTATGTGTACAGAGTTACAACATCAAGAGAATTCATGGTGTCCCATCTTGGTATGGGTGTCAACACAGAGAGTAACAAGGAAAGTTGGCTAAGAGTAGTTACTTTGTTCACAAGTGTGTAGGTGGAGAGAAGAGCCGCCTTTTTGGTTAATCCGTATGGCTTATTATGGGATAACATTTATTCATTCATAAATACGACTTAGTGATAATTCCACTGGACACAATAGTAACTAGTGTAATGTGTCTAATCCCTTGTTAGTTGTACGCTGAATTCTAGCCAATCAAGTTTGCAATGTGGCGACCATGTCACTAGGTGGCTCCCCATCACAGTGAAATTTGAATTGTTGATATTAGATAATTAAAGACAATTGGCAAGAAGACCTGCTGACGCCTAGGTCTCGTACCAGTTGGCCCTTACTAGTCAGTCAGCAAAGCGTATCTGCAACGTTGACAGAACTTATACCCCCTTTTGAGATTCGAACCCGTGTCATCCACTGCTGTAATCAGTTAGTAACTAGTGTCCCATCCAAGTATCCAGTACAGTCCTACAGCAGAAAAATGGCGAGCCCAAATAGTTCAGTGATCGTAACGTCTCTCTGACTGCAGGTAGCGCATTAAGTGACACCGGTTCCAATTCAGAAGGGAAATGAGTTCTTTCAAGGTGATTGCACAAACAAACACCTTGCTGACTGACTGGTAAGTGTCAACTAGCAAGAAACCTAGTTCATCAGATGAGGCTTCCTATGGCCGATTGCCTCCAACCATCTATATTAACCAACGACTTAGGGGTGGAGACAATACGTCAAAGACTCAATGCATTCCTATTCACCTCACCACATAGCTCACACTTATACACACATGCTGCATACCTTTTGCTTCATAGTTTTCCCTTCCTTGCAAATTAAGGAATAGTACATTGCAGTAATTAAAATGGAACATAATAAAACACAAACTACGTTTTATAGTAAAATACCTCTTTTAATACAGCACTGTTGTCAGTGGGGACTTCAGTTGTCGTTGTTGTTGCTGTCGTTGTTTCATGCTGTTGACGACTTTCATGTTCATTTCTATACACCTGCGGCTGCTGTTGTTGCTGCTGGTGATTAGGAATATTATCCCCCTCTGGTAGTTGAGAGCATATAATGGAAGACGATGTAATTAAAGGTGAACTACCACGTGATTGGAATAATACTGATCGTTTACGATGACTGCAAAAAAGAGAAACAAGTATTGTTAGATTATTTAGTCAAGAATATAAATGAGTAGAATAAATTAGATATTCAAAAAGCAAAAAAAATTAGTGAAGTAATAGTTTACTTTTCAATTAGATCTTCATCTCGCTCTATCTCTGATATATTATGTATAGCATTTTTATTACAATACACAACAATTTACCAATGTGGATCAATGATCTACTAGCTTGCCTTGTAATCAGAAGGTCCTGGGTTCGAACCCCGGTGGGTGCGCACTACTGAAGAGTCCCAAACTAGGACCAAACAGTTGTCCAGTGCTCCCAGGTTTTCCTGTGGTTCTCTAACTGATGTCAGCTCATGATGAAATCCTCTATGCAACTTACCAATCAGCTGCAGCTATATTGGGCATACATTTAGGCAGGTGTTCATCATAGTATTTCCGAACATCATCCAGCATGGTTAAGCAAAAGACAAACAAGATCTATTCGTAGCTAGCTCTGTTTTAGTACACCTTGTAGATAGTTAGCATAAAGTTTATATGAATACAGTACATTTAAGATTATCTAAGGCATTCCTACTAAATCGTAATTTTGCTTTACGAGTTCGTCGTCTACATATAGCTGAAGATATAGGAATCTACCTGAAGAACAAGCCAAACTTGCGTATGTTCAGAAAAAATTTGTACAGTCACTTTCCTTACTTCGGTGATCGTTATATGAATGTATAAACCAGAGTACTTTGCCCCCCGTCCCCTCTCCTAGAACCTTTAAAAATGATAACTGTCCAAATTATTTTATTATTTTTCTAATTACTTCATCTTTAATTATATGTTATCATTGTTGTAATCATTTCTACCCTTCAATTGTTTGAATTATCTATCTTAGCTCTATACTGAAGATCGGATGGCCGGGCCGGAAAGAATCACCAACAAGAAACTATGGGAAGAACAAACAAAACAAGAACAAACCGATCGCCCAACAAATATGCAGGAAAAAGTGGAGATGGATTGGACACTCGCTGAGGAGGCCGCTGGGTGACATCACGCGCGCGTCAGGCCATTGCTCGAGTGGAACCAGGCCGAAAGGGAAGCGGCGAGTGGGACATCAGTGCAAGGTGACATGGAGGAGATGGTGTGAAGAGGAGTTGAAACAGTATGGACTAACATAGATGAAGGTGAAAAGTACAGCAGAAGGAAGACAGAAGCAAGTGGAGACGTGCAGTTGAAGCCCTATGTTCCACTAGGAACCCAAGGGAACAATATTCTATCTGGGTTATTTTCAAGCCCCATGACATGTTGATATTGATTAATTATTGTCACCAATATATATCGATACTTGATCGGTAAAGTGTTGTGGATTGTAATTAAAAATGTTATATATAATGTATTGAGTAGAGCCAGAGATGAGGATCTAATTGAAAAGTAAACTATTTCTTCGCTGAATCCTTTTGCTTTCTAATTTATGTTAAACAAAAGTCAATACATCAACTCATAACTGAGTGACTAATAAAGATGAGTTACAGCAGTGAGATAAGAGTTAGACTGAAAGTTAAGAGTATACCGAGAAGTATTAAAAAAGTATTTTTCAGATAATCACGATATATATGACATAGTCAAATACTAGCTTCGTACAAATTCAGACTTATTCATTTCGTGGAGGTCTCAACAGCACTCAGCATCAAAAATAAGATCCGCATCTTCAACTCCAATGTGAAGTCAGTACTACTCACTAGACGGATCAGAGACTTGGTGAGTCATAAAGAGCACCTCAAACAAACTACAGACCTTCATTAACGGCTGCCTTCGCTCAGTACTCAAGATCAGATGGCCAAAAAACATCAGCAACAGGGATCTCTGACAATGAGCGAACCAACCACGAACCGACTGTGAAAACAATAGGCTGGAAGAAATGGAAATGGATTGGCCATACTCTGAGAAACCATCAAGTGATATCACTAGACAAGCCATCGCTCGAGTGGAACCCGAAAGGGAAGTGGTGAGTTGGTCGTCAGTGCAAGGGTGACTTGGGGAAGGTCATGTGAATGGGAGGAGATGAAAGCATGTGGACAGACCTGGAGCCAGGTGAAAACTCTAGCAGAGAACCGAACGCAATGGAGATGTGCAGCTGAAGCTTTATGTTCCTTTAGGAATTAAAGGGAATAATAATAATTTCGTACAATATTATGGCTAATAGCGATTATGCACATCACTTACTGACCGATAGAAAGAGAAGTAGGTAATTGGTTTAAATACTTGACTTCCAGCTTATGAGTCCTGGATTCGAGTCCCACTCCACATCTACTTTACTCTAGACAAGTGGGGGCAATACGAGTTACTTGTCCTCTTTTTTAAATACATCACTATTCACAACGAACAATAACATGAGATATTCCGATAGTTAGAAATCATTTGCATAAAACAGCCGATGTTAGCTTTAATCGATGTCATCTCATGCTGAAATCGTGGAGCCAATCAAATTAAATCCCTCCAAACCAACATTACCTGGGTTCTTGAGGGAAGTCGTGCCCAGTGGCGTACAGCAGGGAGGGTGTGAGGACAAATACTCGCCAGTGATGACATTGGTAGTAACAGTGGCGTTATACCGTGAATTGACAGAAGATACAATTCATCGACTGGCCAATAGATCTCAGGTCCCAGTGGATTAATGGTCTATGAGCTCACTAGCATTGTAACCAGAGGGTCCCAGGTTTGAAGCCTGGAGGTGGGTGCGTACTGTTGAAGACTCCCAGATGACCAGGAATTCATGCTGGTTTCTAAATGGTTCTCTAACTGATGTCACCACCTAATAATAAAATTCTGCAAATGTACTTTTTTAATGGGTTTAGGGTAACAACAGCTATGAATTATGATCAATCGCTATTCCATGGAAATTTGGTTCCTACAAATAGGCATCTATGTACCACCCCATATGTAACTCTCAGGTATTAGGTCTTTCCAAAATACACATGTACACAACCATGTGGCACATGAGTTATTAAACCCTTGTGGAGTCAAAAACAATAATGATCATTGAATTGAATTCTTGATTTTCCCGTCGACTGATTGGACCGAAGTGTTCGGTCTCAGGTTGACATGTCGGCTTCTTGTGCAGATGCTTCGACGATGTCTGGGGATTTGATTTGTATACAATTGGTGGATGGTGGCTAGCAGTGGAATCCTATACAAATCAAATCCCCAGACATCGTCGAAGCATCTGCACAAGAAGCCGACATGTCAACCTGAGACCGAACACTTCGGTCCAATCAATCGACGGGAAAATCAAGAATTCAATTCAATAATTAATATATGACCCGTTGCACAAGAGGTGGCTCTCGTGGCCCAAGTGGTCTAGTGGATAACGCTTTGGCGTTTGAAACTATGGGTACTGGGTTCGAGCCTCGATGGGAACATCATCACTCACTGAGAAATGCAGGTACATCCAGATGACGAGTCCCAATTAGGACGAAATGCGCATCCTGGATTCCACTGCTAGCCACCATCCACCAATTGTGAACAATAATGATCCCCTTAAACAGCTACACAATCAACCTTCCTAATTTATGGATTGTAAACACAGAAAGCGCATACACCAAAGGCGTGAATTTTTTTTAGTTACAAACAGAACTATAATAACATACCCTATAATTGTTTCCGGTTTGTTTTCCGATTTTTCTGTATCTAGAAATATAAAAAGAAAGAAAGAAAGAAAGAAATATGAAGTGTGATTACTATGGTTATTACCGATTGTGATAGTTCGCTGAATACAAAAACAAACAGCTATCAATGTTGTCATGAAATCAACACTAAGACATGTTTGTTGAGTCTATATCTTAAGGTTCAGAGTAAGTGTTGTTAGCCAATGAGAATGTCGTATTTTATGGGAAACTAAGCGATTACAACCACCATTATAGGCCGTATATTTTTATCAATGTCAGTGAAAAGCTTGGGCATTATGGTAGAATGTAATTCTATAAAAAAGATAAGGTTAGTTTAAATATCATACACACAGTGATGATACAGTATTCACAACTGGATGACAAGGTGGTTTCGAGCATAAATTATTGCTACTCATAATCATATCAATTCTAGTCACACGACCTCACAGTTTGTCTTATATATGTATTATTTATTTATTTAAAGGCATAAACATTTGGTACAATATGGCACCAAGTAGGATGCGCCACACAATAATAATAAAACAACATAGATCAAAAGAAAAAAGAAGGGAATATATAAGTAGAGAACGGATAAAGAACTTCATCTGGAAGGAAAACAGTCATACTTAACAAGTTCAGACAGTATTTGTTAACTATCATCGGGAAGGGAAGAAAGAAGGAAATTGCAACACGTGTAATACCACGTGATAAGTTTCATTGCTTGTTTGTTGCTTTATTCAATTGATTGTGTGAGGGCTGATATACTGCCCGGGCACCGCGACAGAACCAGGTGATTTTATCAAGGGACCACCACCGAGCCTTTGACTTGGAGTCTAATCCGAAAGGCAGCGAAGCAGCGTCAGGGGCTGCATTCTCATGGTTGACGGTGACCCATATGGGTTCATACGCCATTTGATCCGATTGGATACTGGAGCCCACGTACCCCATGGTAACTGCCTTTAGTATAACCGCTATCCAAACAAACTTCCTGACATGGTAGGACCTGCAGGGACAGAGTCCCAGTAAGTTATGTATGTTGTGTCATTACGGTATCAAGCCCGACCATCACGACAAGGTAGCAGTTATCGGTCGGGCTTATATATGTATACCATCTGTCCATCTGTTTTCGACATAGAACTTTGCACCGATGTGCACCAGTTCAAGTTGCCACACTCCATGTGGCAAACAAAGAAAGAGAAAGTAGAAAAAATGCATAATAGAGACAGTAGATAGGGATATGAGACAAAGGAATAATAATAACGAAGAACAATGTAGTTTCATTGGCCATTATAAATCACAGGGAGTGAATGCATCTGCGCCATGGAGAGCGATTCTGAGCCATATCACCAATTGTTTCCAGTCATTGGTTTTTACCGTCCCGAGGACCCCAAACAGTGAGGAAGTCTACACCTTCCTATGTGGCTTAAACTAACTGTTGTGGATTTCATTGACTGATGAATCCATGTTTTGGTTTGACCACCACTGGCTCTTTTCCAGCCTGATCGATCCTATGTCAGCTAACAATAGTCGGCGAGGAAGGTAATGGCTAGGCATAAGAAACATACGTCCTAACCATCTCTAACAGTCGATGTAGCTTTACAGCCTCGTGTTGATTTCCCCTCTCACCTACCTTGCACACGACCGATACTTAGTCTCAATATTGCTCACCCTATTATACCAGTTCACACGGGAGACAGAACGAAGGCACCTATGATGGAAAACACCTAATCTTTTCATGTCTTCGACTCTCAATGGTCAGGTTTCACTCACAGCCATATAGGAGGACGGAGCGGACTGCTGAGCAGGACACACGTCCTTTGGTCTCTAGCCAGCAGGATATCACGTCTACGCCAGAGATGGCGTGAACTCGCGTATGCGAAACTAGCCCTCTGTATCCGTACTGAGATTTTGTCAACGATCAACCCATTGGCGTTGGCTGATGCAACTTCATGAATAAGTGAAGCGGTCAACGTGTTCTACCACTTCACTACCTGTTTTTAAGCTTGGAGTCAGTGTAGTCCAGTCCTGTAACATCATCTTCCATTCGACAAAGGGAGCGAATCGCATTCCAAACATTCGTAGATTGCAGCTCAAGATGTTCAGAAAACTCTGCTGTATTTTGTCAGCGTCTTCACCTAGGAGGCAGGACTATATCATCTGCATATTCTAAGTCAACGAGACTATTCCCTGGTAGCAAGTCAATCCCTGAGTCTCTGAAGTGAGTTAGGGTTAAATCCACTACTATTTATACACTTTCTCTCCTTCTCTCTCCAACTTTCCATTGTTGTTTGTTGCCACTTTCCATATCTCCGGTATAGCTGTTGCATCATTCCGATTCCACTTTTGAGGTGTGATTAACCTCCCTCTCTACCTTTTTAATGCTATCAATCTGTCCAATCCTATTTTGCGATTACATACCAGTGAACCTTTTTCTAGATTATTTAAGTTAGCAAGAACAATTCTTCTAGGTCTAGGTCTAAGGGTGTGCGACGCTGTATTCTGGAACACCTGATTGACTCCTGTCACTGCACACCAACCCTGACCAGGATTTCAAGGTCATATATAGAATCCGTGCTAACTTGCCGACCGCGTTTTCTTCGTTACGGACTTCTAAAGACAGCTGAGGCCTTGGCAATTCATGACTTTAAGCCAGACCTTTGTGTACAAAAGAAGTACGTATAATCCCTACTTCTGCTTGGCCGCAGAGGGATAGACATTTATTTTCAAGTATTGGTTTTGTAGGGATTTTGTTTATTAAGTTATTCTATGTACTTTTCCCTAATTACTTGGATTAATTTTACTATTGTTATCATTATTATTACGACTCTCACTCTGAATCTTTTCCACTTGACCCTCTTGTCGTTTTAAACCCCAAATTATTCATTTGTATACTTTTTATTTTTTCAATATTTAATTCTTTCTTATAAAATTCCACACCATGTTATGTAACATTTTGTATTCGCCTAGTAATCCTGTAATTATGCACCCCCACTTCCAACATCTACACATCCTACGAATTATTCTACATATGTGACATTAATTGTTTTGCCACTTGACATATAACTATGATTATAATCACAAACATTTTAATTTTAATTGCATTTCATACTATTATTATTATTATCATTATTATTTCATGTGTTCACATCTTTGACCTAATTTCCTCATCAAAAATATAATTTCTTAAAAACAACCCATATATATATACATACGATTGTACAGCTTGATGATAAATTCGTTGTTGGAGAGAATCTGTTCGCTGAATATTGTGCGTTCTTAATGCTACACACAATGGGAATTATTAAATTATTGAAAGCTGTTATATTTCAGTAATCTAGTTGACCCCGATCTACTCTAGTTTGACTGACCTATGTAATTGACCTCACAGTCATTATACGGCATTTGAGACAAGTCACGAAATAGGGTAGGACAGGGTGAGAGTATGAAAAAGAGTACAGAGAAAGAGTTGAATCACACAGGTGCAATCGAAATGATGCGACGTCTATACTGGAGATATGGAGGAAGGTTGCAACAAACAACAAGGGGAAGTTGGAGAGAGAGAGAGAAAAATATACACACATATAAGACACATTAAAGCGAACAATATTGTTTTCAATTAGATCTCATCAGGCTTAACTCTAATATACCTACATTACTTTACAAATAAAAATTCAAATATAAACCAATCATGGTGTTTTGTCTATGGGATAATAAAATGGTGAATATAAGTTGTGCAATTACTCATAATAGTATTAATGATAATAATAATAATGGTTTTATCAATAATAAGGGTGAAAAGTGAGGCAATCTGTAATAACACGAATACTGATTCAAAACAGCATGATTAAACAAACAAATATTCAGGTAGACATAGTAGTCGATAAAGGCTAGCAAAAACAAATGAACTGATTAAGTAAGTAATGCTAGATTGTAAGACAACCTGTGAAACCGTGTGACTAAAACTGATATGATTATGAGCAGCAATAATTTATGCTCAAAACCTTGTTATCCAGTTGTGACTACTGTATCATCACTATGCGATTTTCTAAATAAAGTAAAATAACCGTAACAGAGCATAACAAGAAATTTATTTTAAAAAAATATATTGAAAAAACTCAATCAAGCAAAACTATACAAATGCGATCATGCACGAATCACGATGAAATAACATTTGCATTAGTTATGCACCAAGAAATTAGTCACACCTAATAATTTCTCTTCAGGTTCTTACAATTATCAAAAATAAAATTTATCTAAAACAAATAGCTCCCTTCATGAATTTAATTAGATAAAGCAATAAGAAGACGTAATTTGTCTGAATCGTGTTATGTTGCATTTGCGCAGCAACTATTTCGAACAATCTGATCACACATGGACTTTGTCATAGGACTGTATATATATGAAATTAATAAAGAGGTAAGAGGTGAGAAAATAGACTGCTTAGGTCAAGTTAAAATGACATATTGAAGGTCAGAATAACACTAAACCAAGTAACACAGGTAATAGTACATCTACCCTGGCTGGTATCAAAACAAAGTTTACCAAATAAAGTTTAATGTGATGATCAACCGTTTTTGAACGCATAGAGGTGGTTCAAACTTCCTAATTCCCAGTTAGGGCTTCCGCCAACTTTAGGATACACCCCAAACACGTACCATGGGTAGATGATAGGTTTCAAAAATCTGTTAACGTCAATTTTATGTCCTGTTTCTATAATATGTTTCGCGATGGGAGAGCTAGGTCTCCTGTCCTCACCGTTAATAGGTTCTGAAGATTCCATTTGTCTTTTGGAGCCATTTAGGAATATGCTCTGAAGCCAGCCTTCACTTGCAGAGATGATGAGTTCTCCCTATGTATGTAAAGAGACTTTTTATGCAGCTAATATCATAATAATTGAGAATGTAAAGCCAATATATCTATCTAAGCCCTTAGAACATGCGAAAAGTGATGTCACATTCCACTGTATTTACCAATTCGAATGTACGTGTGGACACACATACACATAGGGGGGACTCATCGATCTCTGCAAGTAAGGGCTGGCTTCAGAGCATATTCCTAAATGGCTCCAAAAGACAAGTGGAATCTTCACAACCTATTAACGGTGAGGACAGGAGACCTAGCTCTCCCATCGCGAAACATATTATAGAAACAGGACATAAAATTGACGTTAACAGATCTTTTAAACCTATCTACCCATGAAACGTGTTTGGGGCATATCCTAAAGTTTGTAGAAGCTTTAGCAATTAGAAAGTTTAAGCCACCTCTATGTGTTCAAAAACAATCCGTCATCACATTAAACCTTCCTTGGTAAATTTTTGTTACGATACCATGGCAGATGTAATATTATCTCTGCTATTTGGTTTAGTGGTCTTCATTGCTATTTTGACCTTGAATATGTCCTTTTAAATTGACCTAAGTAGTCTATTTTCTCACCTCTTTCTCACTCTTTATTAATTTAATATATATGTACTCGTAGCACAAGTCCGTGTGTGTGATCAGATTGTTCGAAATGTGTTGCGTAAATACATACATTACACGATTCAGACAAATAACATTTACTGTCGTTACAATATTGATAGCCAGTTATGTGACGGATACATTTTTAACGTAGAATAACACATTAGTTATCGTAGGGTGACAAAATAAATAGTCGTATTTGTGTGACAAACGTGCTCTGAGCTGAAATCGACTACAAAATATTCCGATGAAATGGGAGACAATGATGATGGTGATTAGTCATAATAGATTTATAGAGTATGGGGTAGGAAAACAAGTGACAAGTCAGTAAAAACAATATCGTTTTGTTTTTCATACATTGGAAAATACGAAAACCTTTATTATAAGTGACAAGTCAGTTCAAGGTTATAAAAGGTTTCAGGTGAATGGCTAGTACAAAATGGTCTGTATTAAACAGGAGATAGTAGGACTGCAATGAGAGAGGTTCATAATGTTTGCATGAAGGGCATTAATTATGACCAATAATAATATATAATTTGGTACTTTTTATTTCCTTGCTTATTATTACAATTATTACTATTATTTCATTTCACGCATTCGTTATTTCATCATGAACCTCTCTCATTGCAGTCTTACTATCTCCTCTTTAATACAGACCACTTTACACTAGCCACTCACTCACCTGACACCTTGTGTAACCTTGAACTGACTTGTCAATTTTCCTACCCTATACCCTACAAATCACCACAATATTTTGCAATCGATTTCAGCCCAGCACGTTTGTCACACAAATACGACTACTTATTTTGACACCCGATAACTAATCTGTTATTCTACGTTAAGAAAGGAATCCACCGCATAACTGGCCATTATTGTAACGACAATAAATATTATAATTTTATAATTGTAAGAACCTGAAGGGGAGAAATTATTGAAAAGCATATTCTTCGTTCAGATTGACTTTCAATTCATAATATGGGAATATTTCACACCATTAAATCACATCAAATATATCAGACAACGAATACAATAATATGATATCAGATGTGATTAAATGGAAGTGTATCTTAAGCAATGCTACATATGAAGCTCATATTAAAAGGTGACTGACTCAGCCTACGGATCTCACAGTCCCTTTAACAAAACGCATTCGTCTCAGCACTTCTAGGAAAAGTATTTTCTAGTCGACCATTACTATTGAATAACCCGAAGGACAAGATCCTGTAGTTGACCTGCTCATGTCGGGTTACGTATATAGGTCGTTCAACATTGCAATATAAGAAAACTATCCAGTGTGGTTATGAAAAGGTGGGAATGGAGCTGTAGGAAACGTAATCATTGAACATGTAGCCGATAATGACCACAATCTGAGTTCTACAACCTCTTCCGTAAAAAGTCATCCATAAGGAGAAACATAACGTACCGAAATCACTGTGTTCAAATACTCATCACCTGTATGTTGTTGAAGCTTTGGTCATTGAAATTAAAAAAGACAGATCTCTGTATACAAAAAGAGTGCGTCGACCGGGAATTGAACCCCGGACCAGGTGCACGGTCGGCGAGCGTCCCAACCGCTATGCCACTGACGCACGTCGACCGTTACCACTTTGAACAATTTCTGGTGCTATCTCACTTGGCACCTGTATTTATTTAATTACCTATAGTCAAAATTCGTACCTTGTTGTGTAGTGATTGCTTTAATATCCCCCTACACATTAATCTCATTATTTCCACACCCAGTTCTAAAAACTAACCAATTCTTCGTCCCAGTTCACATTATTAAAAAATCATTTCAGGATTTCATCATGAACTGACATTAGTTAGAGAACCATTGGAAAACCTGGGAGTACTGGACAGCTGTTTCGTCCTAGTTTGGGACTCTTCATCAGTACGCACCCACCGGAATTCGAACACAGAACCTTCGGTTACAAGGCGAGCTCGTATACCATTAAGCCACTGGGACCCGATCCAATGGTCTTTGAATTCCAACTTCTGCCAATTCACGACATAGTGCGACCACTAGCCAATGTCTTCGGCGAGTATTTGTCCTCACACCCGACCCGCTGCACCCTACTGGTCAAGGACCATTGGATCGGGTCCCAGTGGCTTAATGGTATACGAGCTCGCCTTGTAACCGGAAGGTCCTGGGTTCGAATCTCGGTGGGTGCGTACTGCTGAAGAGTCCCAAACTAGGGCGAAACAGCTGTCCAGTACTCCCAGGTTTTCTAATGGTTCTCTAACTAATGTCAGCTCATGATGAAATCCTGAAACCAATCAAATCCCTACAAACCAACACTTGAAAAAATCATTTATTTTAAACAATTGCGCAGGTTGATAACAAATTCATTGAGAAGAGTCACTTCGTTGATTCTGCCTGATGGGAATTTTCCATGAATTAAACCATGGGACAGAAGTCGGTGGTTCAGCGATAGAATGGTCGACAACCAAGAATGTAAGGTTTGGGGTTCGATCCCCGGTCAATGCACTCCTAAACCTAGCTCATCTCGTAGTAAGGCTGATAAAGTGACATGAGACTGGCAAACCCCCTTCACTTCGTAAAAATAAGAAACCCCTTCTACTCAAACTTCAGATCTCAAGCTTGAGGCCTTATATTGTACTCGAAACAACTAACGACCTATTTAAGCAGAAGATGTAGACGAAAAACTACGCCCAAATACATTTAAAAAAAAAACTTACTAGGACTTAAAGTACTATTTGTATTCAATAAATGAGTGGGTTTAATTTTTGGAGGACGTCCACGACCTCGAGGCGCAACTACTGGTTTAGTGGCAAGAACTTCTACTGTTGAACCTTGTTGCTGCTGTTGGTGTTGGTGTTCAGTGTAACTAACAGATACACTCGGAGAAGGTAGACTGCCAGTTTCTGATCGAACATTCAAGGTATCTGGAGTCTCAGGAGTAGAATTTACAGATACACCTGTATTATTCAAGTTTGCAGCAACTAAACTCGCAAAACCTATCACTGCAGCCTAAAAAAGAAATAAAACGGAATTCAATACAAGTGATCTAATTAATTTGAAGCACTGGATCAAAATGCTTAGATGTAAAAAGTAATATGTTGAAAATTTTAAAACTCCTCCATTAAAGAATAACTCCGGAACTAGGGCTTAACGGTCAATTTAGTATTACATTCAACCACTTAACAGAACAGAGGCATGGCCGTTAACATGATGTGGTAGTGGTGCGGCTTGCACACCGCAATGACTCACCGAACTCCACTGGTTGGACTAATGTTCCCGAAGGTTGGGTTGCACCATAAAGGTCATTTGGAAAGAGCTCCAACTAAAAGTAGTTTCCAGCCATCATGTTATATGAGGTCTTTCATGTTACGGGCTATGAGCACACTTATTTTGTGAGGGGCTGATGACGCTGCCCAGTTTCCCAGACTAAAGTAGGTGGAACAGAATTCCAACTTGAGAACCAATGACTAAAAGTCAAGTGCTTAAGTCAGTGAGCTACATCTCTACCACCATATTGTAAGTCGACTATGTTGGGGTCTATGTGCGAAGTTGTACTGCTGACAAAAAGAGATGTAATAGCAGTAAGATGTTTCTCCCAGGTGATCAGCAAGCAAGCTCTATTATCGTCTCTCCTCTCTGGAGAGTTTGGTTAGAAAAGGTCAACCGAGAAAACTGTACAACGAAACTTACCTTGCGACAGTCCGCAGCCGGAAGTAAGACCTTAATTACGGATACGAGCATATTGACCACCTCAAACAGACCGTCTGTGAGCGACCTCAAGCAGTTGTCCCTGGGGTTTGTGAAGTCATACCGCACTGATGCTCTTATTATTCCAGGTATTTTACGAAGAAATCAACCTCACCAATGTGGACAGCGGGGAAGTAATTACCGCTTACAAACTCGCATAAGCTCACTTTGATCAAAGATTATTCAATTATATTTTATAGTACCCATAAGCATACTCGGTCTGTCGTATCCATCAGTCCTCAGTTACAGACTAGACACTTACTGTCTAAAGGTAGACAATTAATTATAGGATTATTTAACTAGGCACGTATTCTTCTACTTGACTGTGGAATTAAAGTCTGTTAAGTAATTATAACTACCCTTACTCATAAGATTAGAATTCCGTACATAGAGGAAAGTATGATAAAACGATGCTTCAGCGGTAAAAATTAAGTTCCCACAAAGAATAAGTAATAAACTTACTCATAAACAAAAATAAGAAAACACAAGAAATGAAGAAAGTAGAAAGGAACAACGATCATCAATTGCATCAACATGACTAAGTATGACTGATTGATTGATTTCAAAGTAGAACTTTGCAGAGAAGTGAGGCAGTTTGAGTTGCCACACTCCCTTTTGTGTAGCACCCAAAGCAAGAGAAGGGAGAAAAGAGAGATTCCAAAGACAGATCATAGATAAAAGTGAAAGTGATGGGAAAAGAGCAGTAATATGGAAGAACAATAGTTTTACTGGATATGTTAAATCACAAAGAGTGAATGCATCTGCATCAGCCATCTCTCTCTCAATCGGTGCGACTTCACAACTTCGCCGATTGATTTCCCTTCCCCTCCCTCCCTACTTAGCATTCGACCGAGGCCTCACCTCAATATTACTCACACTACTGCACCAGGCCATCTAACACGGGCGATAGAATGCAGACGCCTATGATCAGAGACAGCCTACTGGCCCTTTCATATCTTCCACTTTCAATGGCCATATCTCACTCACAGCCATAGAGGAAGACACAGAGAATTGCTGATCAGTAAACACGTCCTTCAGCCGACAGTCAACCGGATATCACATCTACTAAGCCAGAGATGGCATAAGTTGGCAAATGACAACTGAGCCTTTGTCAGTGATCAACCCGCTGGGGCTGGCTGATGCAACTTTTCACGCAAATAATTAAGTGAAGTGGTCAACAGGCCCCACTAACCACCTCACTGCTGCCTATGTTAAAGCTAGGAGTGAGTCGATATAATCGAGTCAGTCCTTTAAAGCCATCTCACATTTGACAAAGGGAGCTTATCGCATGCCAAACATTAGAAAATTGCTAGCTGTTCATGGCACTCAGAAGACTCTGCATTTTGTCAGCGTCTTCACCTAGAAGAACTATATCATCTCCATATTCTAAGTCAACGAGATTACTCCCTGATAACAAGTCAAATCTTACATTTGACTAAGTATATGGTGGTGGGTGGGGGTAAGGGGCAGTTCACTTAATTAAATACAACCACTTTGTGAATAAGGTGGTTAACGATGAATTTCAATATAAAACTAGAGTAGACCAACCTAAAGAAACACAGATTATACCACCATTAAGAGTACTGTTAACTCTCACAAGTCACCCATAAATTGAAATGAATAGGAAGAGTCTGAAGAAAGTCTCCGAGAAATCTCAACAATTGGACTCCACTTCAAACAGGTTTGTCTAATCACATTAAGAATTGCTTTAAAATGTACTGAAATATAAAACAAACAGACAGTCAACTGAGCAAACACCACACTGATGGCAAGTACCAGGCAAATTCACTGACAATCGTGTACACCAATCAACTGACCTCTAACAGGAAAAAACATGTGTAAAATCTAATGAGTCATTAACAAAACAATTAGTCATAGGTATAATTTCACCGAAGTTTTCCTTAGGAATTAGAGATAATCACTCAAAAAATGGTATTGTTAACTTAAACAATATTAAAGACACCATCAAATGACTGGCTGTAAACCTCATGGAGAGGACACGGAAGAGAGACGTCGAAGACTCTGTCGTCTGGTGAAAAACACATTCACAGATAAGTAACAAAACAAGTCAGAAGATGAATTCAACTCGAGTTACAAATATGCAATTACTAGTTGTGAAATACTGTTAAATGTTTGTTTTTTAATTACCTCACGTTTCGGTCGATCAGACATCACAGATACTGAATCTGATGATAAGCAAGGCGAGGTGGCAATACTTTTATTAATAGGCTCCAATTTTAATGAACGCCTTGATGGTCGGCCTCGACCACGCTTTTTCACGACAACAACACTAGTATCAGGATTATCAACAAGTTGACCGACATCAACTGTTGAAGGTACAACTTCTGTCAAATCCACTACAGTTATATCTGTAGTCGGTTGTTCATCAGACATTGATTTAATACAATCATCAGTAGGATGATCTGAATCTAGTATGGAGGACATATGTGTATCAGCATCATCCGATGTGTTTATTCCAACTTTGTAACGTTTACGAGGAGGAAGAACTGAATGACGTGAACTGGAGGAACGTCTTAAATTATTTGGTAATGATGATGGCGTAGAGGTGGATAGAATATCACAGGCATCAGAAATACTTGTTTCAAGCGGTGAAACAGATTGTTGGGCGAATTCTTCATCATCATCAGCGGCGGCAACTACTGCATCGCTGGTGTTTGAAATTGCTGAATGATGTGCATGTCGTCGTCGTTTACCAACAGTATTTAAAAGGGAAGAAGAAGAAGACGGGGAATTGAGATCAAATTGTTGTTGTTGTTGTCGTGAATCAATAGTAGTTATACCGCCATGGGATAATGTCTCATTGGCGATGTAGTGTTCTGTTTGGAGATTCATATCATCAGAGGGGAGATGGGTCTTTGATAAGCGATTATGCCGACTTCTCTTTCTTCGACGACCAGGAGATGTTCGTGGACTTAAATCACGTTTAGCTGGAACTGAAGATTGATAAACACTATCATCGAGTGGTTCTTGTTCTACAGAGATTGGGGAATATTTGGTAATGCATGCTGCAGATTCCATTTCACTATTTCGTTCACTTGCTTCAGATATAACCGAAAATGAACCCTAACAGAGAAAGAAGAAAGGGCGAAACTGGCAATTAAAAGATATTCACCACAGTTGAAATATGTAAATAAAAGGTATAAAGACAGTGACAGTGCACTGCGATTTTATAACGAATTTACGTATGTATACATAAAGGATTGTAGATCACAAGAAGAAAGGTTTTACTATAATATATACGCCAGGAACGACCTGCTACGGGCTAAGGATGGGTGGATTTCAGTCTTCCTTTCGAAATACTCTCATGTAGCCAAGTGTTTACAGCCTTTGTCAGGTAAGACGTATTCACCGTTTTCATAAGCTAGGGGTGGTGTTCATCACAGAAAAAAATGATGAAACAGATAGAGGAATAACTGATTGGTGTTCAATAACTAACTATCCTTTATTCTTTTTGATTGCACACTAGTTAGTAACTAGTGTCTGTCTGGATTCAATATAGAACTTGGCACCGAAGTGCACCATTTCGAGTTGCCACCTTCCAAATAACAAACAACGGTAGACGAGATGAGTGAAGAGAATCAATAGTTTGACAAGTATAAGAGTGAAACAGAATGGGTAATGGTAGAAAGAAATATGAAAGATTACTAGTGTAATGTGTCTAGTCCAATCTTCACTGTAGACTGAATTCTATCGGTCAAGCTTGCAATGTGGCCACCATGCTAGGTGGCTCGCCATTAAAAAAAATATTCAATACAGTCCTACAGGAAGGAGGTCAATCGCGGGCCTGAATAGCTCAGTGGTAACGTCTCTGAATGCAGTATTCACTGAGTGACGCGAGTTCGAATCTCAGAAGGGACATGAGTTCCTTCAAGGTTGCAGATATGCCTTGCTGATGAGTACCCCAACTAGCACGAAACCTAGGTCCAAGGCTTCCTGCCGATTGTCTCCAACCATCTAATACTAACTAACCTATAAAATTCACTACGACTATCAAAAAAGGTCAGAAGCAAAATAAAGTTAATGGCGAAACTAATAATGATAACATAAATAAGAAAGAATATAAGGCGTCTACAGTTTTACCATATATATATGGAGGGGACATCTGAAACTCTATGTAGGATTTTCAATAAAGTAGGAATTAAAGTGACATTTAAACCTACAAACTCACTCAGGTAGGACAAGCTCTGTAGGCTAAAGGACCCAGTGGGTTGACCCAATTAGGCGAAATTATATAATTTACAAAATACCTTACAATCACTGTGAGGTCACCTACATAGGCCAGTCAAACTAATAGATCAGGAGTAGTCAGATTGACAGAAAATAAGGATTCATCTGAGATTAGAATGATTCACCCTATAAAGATAAGTAATTTAGAAAAACGCTCAGCGGCAATCACACTTCATGCATTAACACGCAATCACACAATAGGTCGATGAGGACAGAGTGAAAGTTCTAAAGAGTAATATAGGTAGGTAGGTGGAGAGACAAAGAGATTGATTACTGAATCCTGGTTCATCGAATAATCTGCACCCAACACGTGCAATAGAAGTGACTCAACACAAATATCAGAGTTATGGAAGGTATTATTACTGCCAGTCAAATCAGAGGATAATAAATCATGGTGTTAAAATATATTCAATTCACTTTAAAACTTTTTAACAAGTTTATTTTATCATAAAACATCTTATTTTCCATTTTATTGATAACTCTAGTATTGTTTCTGAATGTATTTTATCTTCCATTCTGTTTCACGCATGTCTTGTATTGATTTTATTCATATGCCTAATGATCAATTTTTACTCATGTATATAAACGAAGTTAGAAGGTTGTGTGAGTAATGCCTTAATATGATTATGAGCAGTGATTAATTGTGCTCGAAACGTAGTCATTAGTAAACATTACTGACAAAACATTGTGTGATTTATCAAAATAAAATTTTATCTATAATGGAATTATTGACTTTTTCTCTCTCTCTCTCTCGCAACTTATGATGGCTTGTGTAATCCCTACATCTATTCTCTTCTTTTCAAGGTCCCCTTTAAATTTTTCCCTGATCTTCTGGAAAAAAGGAGACTATCCCAATGTTTCATCGAGGGGACTGTAAGTGGATTTTTTGTCATGTGCTCCTGACACAACTTCACCAACACATTGTTGTTGTTGTTGTTGATGTGTATATCTAAATTCCTGCAAGCAGTCAGCTAAGATAATCTTGATAAATATAATGAACAGCCCCCGCCATTCCAATGTTCATTCATCACAAGTTTCTTCATTATGGATAAGATTTTATTTTGATAAATCACACAGTGTTCGTTGTACAGTAATATTAACTGATGACCACGTTTCGAGCACAAACTACTGCCACTCATAGCTATATCAAGTCACTCACTCACACAACCTTTTCCTTCAATTATATACATGTGTGGAATCGATTATATATTGGATTAAAAATCAATATAAGATAGAGTACATTCAGAAATAAGAATACGAGTGTTATTGATCAATTACAGTTAGATGGGAAATACGACGAGTGTCTTTACAGTCATAAGAAGTTACTTGTTAAAATGTTGTGATGTGTTTGAATTGAAATAGAATTTTATGATTATTTATTATCCTCTTCTCATTTGACTGACTGGTGGTAATAATATCTTCCATACATATTTCTGGTATTTGCATTGAGTCATTTCTGTTGCATATGTTGTGTGTGTGCAGATCATTCGATGAACAAGGATTCAGTAATCAACCTCTATCTCTCTATCTCCACCTACCTATATTACTTTTTAGAATTTTAACCCTATCCCTGCCTATTGTGTGGTTGTTTGTTAATGCATGCAGTACAATTGCTGAGCTTTTTTCTAAATTAATGCACTGCATGCTTAACACAGGGTCAACCATTCTTCCCGTAGCTAAATTCTTATGTTAGGATAATCTGACTACCCGCGATCTACTAGTTTGACTTATGTAGTTGACATCACAGTCATTGTTCATCGAGTCTACACCCAACACATGCAACAGAAATGACTCAATGCAAATACCAGAAATATCTATGGAAGATATTATTACCACCAGTCAGTCAAATGAGAAGAGGATAATAAATAATCATAAAATTCTATTTCAATTCAAACACATCACAACATTTTAACAAGTAACTTCTTATGACTGTAAAGACACTCGTCGTATTTCCCATCTAACTGTAATTGATCAATAACACTCGTATTCTTATTTCTGAATGTACTCTATCTTATATTGATTTTTAATCCAATATCTAATCGATTCCACACATGTATATAATTGAAGGAAAAAGTTGTGTGAGTGAGTGACTTGATATAGTTATGAGTGGCAATAGTTTATGCTCGAAATGTGGTCATCAGTTAATATTACTGTACAACACTGTATGAATTATCAAAATAAAATCTTATCCATAATGGAGTTATACTCTACCACCACACAGTGGCCAAGTTTTATACTTATAACACAACTACCTTCTTGTATCCCATCATTCATCAGGAAGACAAAAAAACCCGGAGAACCAGAAGTAATTTCATTGGAATGTATATACTCTTACAGTTATATAAATGTAGGATTCAACGATTAAACTCTACTTAGTGCAGAAATTGTGTGAAGAAAGGCATGTCTTGAGAAAGAAGCAACGAACCTACTCTCTCTCGCTTTCTTTAGCAATTACTAATGTATTATTATTATTTTTGATTACAGCTTGATTCCACACTGTATTTCTCGGTACAAGTATGGAATTTTCAGCAGGTGATATCGGTAGCCCAAATTTTCAGGCCGACCATAGATATCAAGTGTGTGTCGGCAAGGGATCGAATCCCGGACCATGTGCATAGTCGACGAAAGTCCTAACCACTGTGCCACAGACGCATAATTACAATTATCATTGTCTAAAGAGACATTCTTATTGAGCTTCAGTTTTTGTGATTCCATTTTATGTTGTGTAAAATTTACAATATGAAAATGAGAAGAATTGCATTTTGTATTTTTCTAAAAATATTATTTGCAATAAAGTGATCATTAATTATGATTATGATTATATCTCAATTGTAGCATTTTAATGATACTAAATACTGAGAATATCAATGTGATTAAAACACTACGTTTATACTACAATTCATCCAAAGCATTTCTTCACACAAGTAATGGTTTAGAATGAGTGTATATCCAACTCAAGAAATTTCGATATAACAGAATAAATCGCTAAACTGACATAAGCTGAATTAACAGGTCATTGAATTAAGAATTCCGACCCAAGAGAGGCTGAATGATCACAATGAGTTTAGCATCTAAGAAACCAATTAGTTGGACTGCCTGCACAAATTCGAGATCGCTTGCAGTTGGCTTCAAGTAGAAATAACGCGGACGATTGTTGTGTGGGTACGTCTATGGCATAGAGGTAGAATGCTCGCCAACCACGCCACACGTGGTTCGGAGTTCGATCCCCGGCCACCGACGCACTCCTCGACCTCGCTAAGCCAGTAATAAAACTGGTAAGGAAGAGTGAAGGTTAGACATGAGGCTGGCCAGCAACCGCATCTCGTAAAAATAAATACTACTGCTACCGAAATTTCAAAGCTCCAACTTGAAGCCCTATATTCCATTGAGAATGTGAAGGAATAAAATAATAATAATAATAACTGCTGTGTGGCCCACCTAACGTTGTGACCAGGCTACCATTAATACCGCCTTAACTAGCAAAGGGAAAATACAACACTTAAGACCGCGGAGAGATGTATTTGTGACGATGATTTGTAGAGAGTATGTGCACAATTAGACAATACCACCACGACTAAGCTGCGAACCTCTTGTCCCTTGAAAATTATATTTTACACCAATTCTTTCAACACGCACGGATAAACAAAATGATCGTTGACGGGAAAACGGCTGAGGTTCAATTGAACTGACGAACTTATTTGATCCCTACCCCTACAAGCCTCGTAACCTGAAGGTACCCCGGGGTTCAATCCCTGGTGGAAGAATAGTGGATGCGTACCTCTGAAGAGTCCCAACACTAGGACGACGAAATGGCCATCCAGTAATTAAACCCTGTTGGTTTTTAATAATGGTTCCCCTTTAAATGGTAGCAATCCGTGATCAAATTTGAATAGAAGAATGAAACTAGTTACGGAAATTAACAAAATCAGAGGTCAGCAATAAAGAATATCTTTAAGTGGCCTTATCGCTGTATTGGCACACTGATCTAGGGTGGATTAGCTTTCTGACAACTGGGTGGTGGCCATGGTTCCCAACACCGCTCTACCCCTATCGACGATATTTCAACAAACAGGCAGTTATCAATGACAATCATACAAAAGGCGTGGCTGATTGGTAACCTCATAGAGATACAAGTGGTTACCACTACTGAAAGGAATGAATAAATCTACATGCATTACATTAAATGAAAAATAAATGACAAAAATGGAAAAAAAATTACCTTTTGTTCACAATTGGAATGATCTACACTTGTTGTTGTTGCTATTGTTGCATCAAGCCTACTACCACCATCAACTGGTCTCTTGGTACTACTCCTATTAGTAGTAGTAGATGATTTCTGTAGTACAGTTGCATTTTCCGATGATACACTTGACACTTCTGTACTCAGTCCAGAATAGGCAATAACAGAAAGGGATTCATTCGGTTTTGTTCGACAGTTGATTTCATAAGGAATTTGTTCAGAAGCTGTTATACGAAAAATATTAATTTAAGTAATATAAATTAGTTGGGTAAACGTGAAGTCATCGTTGCAGCAGTCATCAAAAATACATACAAATTGAGAACCAGAAACAGAAATCACATTTGACAAGATACACAGGTTGTCAGGACTGTCACAAACGTGAATATGGAATTATCATACATTTAGATTTTATACGGGAATAATAATAATAATAGCTCTATTCTGAACAGCGTTTAGATACAGTACATAACCCATTCATTGAGAGTGAAAGACATGAAAAGATTAGTTGTCTTTGATCATAGATGCCTATGTTCTATCTTCTGTGTGAAGTGGTATAATAATGTGAGCAATATTGAGGTTAGGCACCGGTCGAGTGCTAGTTAGGTGTGAGGGGAAATCAATCGACGAGGCCGTGAAGCTACATCCACTGAAATGGTTAACGGCTACATCGACTGAGATGGTTAGGGCATGTGTTACGCATGACTAGTCATCGATTTCCTCGACAACGGCCAATGTTAGCTGACATAGGGTCAGGCTGGAAAAGAGCTAGCGGTGGTCAAACCAAAACATGGCTTCATCAGTCAATGAAATCCACAACAGTTAGTTTAGGCTGGTCACGTAGGAAGGTGTAGAGTGACTGGTTGGGATCTTCGGGACGGTTAAAACCAATGGTTGGAAACAATTGGTGATATGGCTCAAAATCCTCGTTGTCAATGGCTGGGGCAGATGCATCCACTACTTGTGACTTATGATTTGCAATGAAACTACATTGTTCTTCGTTATTACTATTCCTTTGTCTCATACCTCTGTTTACTGTCTCTCTATTATGTATTTCTTCTACTCTCTTCTGTTGGTTTGTGTGGTACATGGAGGGAGTGTGGCGACTTGGACTGCCGCAATTATGTGCAAAGTTCTATGTCGAAAACAGACAGACTCAACGGAGTTTATTGCATGATATTTGCTCCCTTCGTCCAGGATCTTCAAATAAAAGATCAACTGACAGTAAATTGATCATGTGACACAGTTCTGTCTGACTTGAAGAGCAAACCAAATCCACCATTAAGATATCTCTACTTTTTCTCCTTCAAGAAATATACACGACGATATTTTGCTGAATGTCAATTATAAACGGTTCAGGAGTACTTTAATTGAATTTTAGATTTTCCCGTCGATTGATTGGACCGCAGTGTTCGGTCTCAGGTTGACATGTCGGCTTCTTGTGCAGATGCTTCGACGACGTCTGGACATGTAATTAGAAGTTAATTGGTGGATAGTGAGAACATCATTACTCACTGAGAAATGCAGGTGCATCCAGATGACGAGTCCCAAATAAGACGAAACGCGCGTCCTGGATTCCACCGCTAGTCACCATCCACCAACCAAAGTTCAGGAGTACATTATGTAAACCAAGGACACCACTCAGGAACGGTCATCTAATGTACTGGGATAAGTTATCATCGAGGATAATGCTTTTGCTCAAGTTTAGTAGGAATTTGAGAATCAACAGGTTGTAAACTTTTAAAATAGCCGCCACAATATACAATACTTTTACAGGTCATATTTTACAAAGATTTAAACAAATTGAATAAGTGGAACTGTATGCAATTCATAGATGGAGGTCTTTTTTGGATAGCTCAAATTTCAAGGAGGCCGCCAGAGACTAGAAGTACAATCACAAGATAAGGGGAAATAATCAACTCGTTACCTTCGATTGGCAACCAAACAATAATACCAGTCATATGTATTTCACTGAGAATTTATTAACCACTTGGTAAGATAGTTGTCGATACACTAAAGCTGACCGAGTGAGATTGGGTTTCCAACGAAGAACATTTCGCACAAAAGTGCAGTAAATCTCACACAGTCGCACTTCACATAGCAAACACAAATGTACGGAGAAAGGAACCATGATAAAAGGGAATGTACGGCAAACACAATATTGCTACAAAGACTGAGAATTTAACGGAAATATGATTTCATAAAGAGCGAATGCAATTGTACCACAGATAACAATCTCCAACCTATTCCTAATTTTACTCAAGTTGATTCCCCTAGAATTATAACATGAAACCTTGTCTCCTTGATTCCATAAAGTGAAATAATCAATGACTTACATCAGTCCTACGAGACAATCTCTGATCACTATACATTCCCAAATATCTTACTTAACGGTGACAATAGTTCATTAACATCACCCTTAAAAACATCTGTAGAGCTATAGCATCAGGTCTGTCCCGTTGATCTACCGCATTTCATACTGGAGACAAATTTTGCTACCTCACAGTTGAAGGACCGACATCGACATCCCACATAAGTAGATGCTAAATAATGAGTAAAGTTAGCGTGGTTGATGACCAGTTGTAAAAATCACTCCACAGTGTTCCATCCTCAAAGGTAATTAAGGCACCATTTCTCAGAAATCGCTTCGCTTAATAATGGTTTTTACAACCCAATTCCCAAATCATTAGTTTAGTGATACCTTTTTCATAACTATGGAACTCTGATGCCCATGGTCGCTGAGGACACTTTTGCTCCTCATCATGGTTGGAGACTGTCGGAATCCATCTTCTTGTGTCCATATCAGCTGGAATGAAGTGGCGAAAATCCACTTACTTCGGGTTATCAGTAGCCCTTACCAACACAGCCTTTTCAACAGCTGCATAGACATGATGCCAGACATCCTCAAGATACAGTCTTCTTATCAACACCTTAGATACGCGTTTAGTCATTCCTCTTCTCCAAATAAATATATGTCTTCACCTAGTTGAGGTGTGTAGCGCCTTCGTAGCTGCCTCCTTTTGTATATCTATTCCGTCATAGGCTGTCATAGAAGCGACATTTTCTTCACTGACCCTCTCTCCATTTATACATTTGTTTATAACAACGTGGTCTATTCAAACGTCTAGCATTGATTTGATGATGTCCCACTCCTCGTGATGTATGAAATTCGTGCTAACGAGAAAACAGATGATTAACTCACAAACGACGTGTAAAAAACGATCACTGTTTTGTTTCATCAGCATAGAACTCCACTGGTAATGTGTTTTCTCTGTTAGACACACCTAAAAAGCCTATTAACAGTTTTAAGCATAACTAGTTTAGATTATCTCACTGATTTCCAAGCATATTAAATTACCTACTGAAATGATTTTTACTTATTTTATTTAAGACGCAAAACCTGGTACTATAGTGATGTCAAGGAGATGCGCCACTGTCTGTCTGGATTCAATATAGAACTTGGCACCGAAGAGCACCATTTCGAGTTGCCACGTTCCAAATAACACACAACGGTAGACAAGATGAGTGAAGAGAATCAATAGAGTTTGACAAGTATAAGAGTGAAGCAGAATGGGTAATGGTAGAAAGGAATATGAAAGATTATAGAAACTGAATACATCTGCGCTGGCCATTGACAACGATTTTCAGCCATGTCACCTATTGTCTCCAGCCATTGATTCTTAGAGTCAGTCCCAAGGGCCCCAAACCGGAAGTCTCCATCTCCCTACCTGACCGACTCAGTTTAACTGTCAAGGATTTCATGGATTGATGACCATGTTTTTGTTTGGCTACCACTTACTCTTCTCCAACCTGCACCTATCTATATCAGCTAATAATGCCCGTCGGGGGAGGCGATGGTTAGGCATGCGCAGCACTTCACCTAGCCATCTCAATCTATGTAACTTTATAGCCTCGTCGATTGATTTTCCCTCTTTGCCCAACACTCTACGCCTAACGTCAACATTACATACCTTATTAAACCACCTAACGTGAGAAAGAGACCGCAGACATCTGTGATCGAAAGCAGTCAACCTTTTCATGTCTTCAACTCGTATTGGCCATGTTTCAGAGCCATAGAGAAGGACGGAGCAAAGTGCTGAGCAGTACACACGTCCCTTGGTTGATAGCCGGATGTCACGCCTACGCCAGAGATGGTGTAAGTCAGCGAAAGGAGCTCGAGCCACACAATAATCATGAAACGACAACATGCAGAAAATAGGCAGAGAATGAATAAAGGATCTTCACCTGGGAAGAAAACAGTTATATTGAACAAGACCACACAGTATTTATCGAATTACTGTCAGAAAAGGGAGAAAGAAGGAAATTGCAGCACGCTCGACAATGATGACTGAGATTCTTGGTCATATCCGACTACGTTTCTAGCTATCTCTCAGATCCCAATCGGACAATCGTAAGGCACCAACCGATGCTAACCTAGCATAAATATTCTTCATCCCACGAAGCAACATTATAGTCTGGCTGACCGCCTCTCCGCTTTTTCCATCGTATCCCAGGCCTAGCGAACAGAGACATCGGTATGGAAGCCTCTGGCCACGGATACATTCTTAAACGTCGCTTAATTTACTAGCCAGTAGACAGTACACCATGAAATGAGGGAATGTTAAGTGTGACGCTGGCGATCCCTCTCCACCCGCAGTTACAAACGGCACAAATGCTACTGGAACTTTGGAGGTTTAAGGCCCTACGCTTCACTGGGAAAGTAAAGAATGAATATACACACATATACAGGCTGTAAGGCTGACATTTCACAGAATGAAAAAAAAAACTGATGCATTTGTAAAATGACTGAAGAAAAGTATTAAAATGAACTCACGAGTAACAGTTGTTTGCATTGATGCTGTCTCAGAACCAACAGCTGAATGTGTAGCATGACTATGTACACTACCGCTAGACTGTCGAGTTCGACGAAGCTTAGGTGTTAAAGTGTCTTCTTCTTCTACAGAAGCAATTAATTCAGTTACAACAGATAAGGCAACTTCTGCTGGACGAAAAACAGGCGGTTCGCCTTTCTCTACCAATTCTTTTTGTTCTTGTTCACGTTTTCGTTGTTCAGCCATTACAGCATCCCATGTGACAAGACCACGAAGTTCACGAGAAACCCGAGATTTGTCTGAATAAAAATTGTGTTGAAAAATAAAACAATGATAAGAAATGCATTTTTAAATTTACATGAGAAAGGGTATATTGCTATAATATTACACTGAGAGAAAAATTTAAACGACAAATAACATGTAACGTGTGAAAGATATATACACATAGGTCGTTATCTTAACTTCTTCTGGATGTAAAACGCTATAAATATCATCTGAAACCAAAAAGCAATAAGTTGCGTAATTCAAATTGCAACTCTACTCGTCATCATCGAACAGAGCATAGAACGGTAGTTAAACCACAGTCTTAACTTCATCGACCAATTTGAAAAGGACTACAACAACTTTGATCGAGAAGTAATTTGGATACTATTCCAACACTATGAAGCACAGTACTTCAAATCTTTATCAACCTTATTCAACAACAAGCTATATGACAATGCCACATGTGTCAGGTGATCTACAATGGGAAACTCAACGAAGTCTTTAAAGTGAAGACAGGAGTAAGACAAGACTGCCTGGCTATTATCATCAATGATATTCTTAATTGTGGTGGACTGCATTATGCATCAGACTGTGGAAAGAGAGAGAGAGAAGACAGGAATACACTAGATCAATAAAAAGACAGTAGAAGATATGGAATTTGCAAATGAACTGTGTTTAATTTCACTCACACAATTTGAAAACTAGCAAACGAAAACCAACAAACTGGCAGAAGCAGACAAGGAAGACGGGACTCCAGGTGAACATAGAGAAGACAGAGGCGATGAAGATAACCAACCAACCAACGGTAACAACAAACAGCACCAATCACCACCAACGAGAGAAAATCGAAAGAGGTTACTTCCTTCACTTATCTAGGAAGAATCGTCTCAAATACAGGCGCAACGTAGAAGATGTCAAAGCAGGCCAGAATCGGAAAGGCAAGATAAACCTTCATCCATTCGAAATCAGTTTGGAAATACACTGCATTATTCCAGCATAAACAACACGATTCGGACTTTCAATACCAACGTCAAGGCAGTTAATTCTATATGGAACAGAAACTTGCACTGCGCGTCACGAAAAGCATTTCCAACAGGCTACTGCAGCTGCCTTCATTCTATATTGAGGATTAAATGGGCAGCGAGAAAGAATTAGCAATAAGAAACTATGGGAACAAACTAATCAAGAACCTGTCGTTCAAGAAATATGTAGGAGACAATGGAGACCGTCAAATGAAATCGCGTGCAGTCCAAGGCCATTGCTCGGGCGGAATCCGGATAGGAATCGACGAGTGGGTCGTCAGTGATAGTGAAAGTTGGAGGAGATGAGAGGCTACAGACAATCGTGGGTTCAGCTGAAGAGGACAGCAGACAAAAGAACAGTGATGTGTTGTTGAAGCCCAATGTTCTACTCGGAACCCAAGTAACAATAATAATTAAGTTGCGTTATACATAGGCTACACAGAAGATGGTATCAATCTGTCAGATTAAAATTTGTCCAACGGATTCCTTATTTTGTACAGCAATGTAAGGCATTCATACTATATAATATCCGTAGATACCAAACAATGTTCTCAAAATGATTTGAAACTTTCAAGGGTTGGTTGGTTTCCAACGATTTGATTAATTTCGAGAAATCAGACCACGAATTGACATCACCAAAAGAACCATTGAAAACGATAGGGAAGTAATACTGGAAAACAGTTTTGTCCTAGGCTTGGGACTCTTCATCAGTACATGTACCCATCACCGCACCAGGGATCCGATGCAAGACTTTGAAGTTACGAAGCGAGCCAGGCGACTATTTAGATACTATACAGAATCCAGTGGCCCATCAATCCGCGACATATAGCGCCAGGTGTGAGAACAGATACTCGACAATGGCATCTGTTGGAGGGTAGGCGCTATGTGTTGCGAACTGTCGGAAGTTAGAAATCCATTATCATTGGGTTCCGTTCCGTGGCTGGGTGGTTGATTTCAGGACCTCGTACACCCAAAGAACCAAGGTGCGACCCCTGGTGGTTAGGTCATAGATGCACACTGATGAACAGTACAGGACCAGAACGAAGCAACTATCCAGTACTCCATATTTTTAGTGGTTCTCTCAGAGGTCAATTCTTCAGCTGACTTGAAACTTTTTACGTTAAAAAAGGGTAGTGTCATTAGCCAACCTTTACCCCCTCCTCAAATAATAGGCGTAGCTTATTGCCAATAGCATGAAAATGCGGATTATTGTTGTTGTGGGATAACACTACATCTATTGCAGTTCCGGACCTTATTTCCTCCAGTAATTATAACAAAGTAGCGATATATGAAATTAGGCCGTAGAGAATACGAAAGCCAATTTCAGTTATGAAGAATAGAGTCATCTGTAAAAAGATACAATAAGCAGTGGTTATAAGAAACTACAAAAATGTGACTAAGAGTTGAGTAATACGATCCATACTTAACAAGAGAGTATAAGCTCTTCGTCTCATGTGCACGGAAAGTGTCATGATCTTCTAAAGTAACATAGGATTTCTGTTTCTCGTCCTCCAATGATGTTTTTGTAATAATCTGATAAGTATACAATTATTGGAAGTTTTAAACAGGGGAAAATATGCAACCTTGATCCGTAATATGATAGAACTAAGCTTGCCCAATGGAAAGAAACGAGTGGGTCATCATTGCGAGAGTAACATGGGGAGGAGATGAGAGATTATGGGCAATCGTGGACCCACTTAAAAAGGACAGCAGAAAACAGAACAAAGTGGAGATGTGCTGCTGAAGCCGTATGTTCCACTTGGAACCCAAAAGAATAATAACAATAGTAATAAACTGCTACGTTGATTATAAAGAGAATGTCACTCACTTTTAGGAGTAGTTAACTTGGGCATAAATTGACCACTATCCTTTGTAACTAGCTCAGATGAACCCATGTTGCTGGGTCTTCCTGGGAAACCTCGATAAAATCCACCACGGTGTCGTTTACCTCTACCACGACGTCTTGCTAAATGCGATACTATAGAACGGGGAGGTAATGCACTTTCACTAAACACTGGTTCTAAGTTTGTAGAAGGAGTTTCGCTTCGATTTACACTGATACTGGATTGTTGATTATGGTCAACTGTGGACAAATTCATCACATTGATATCTGTACCTGATATCATCAGGTTAGTAGGATTTTGTACATCAGCATTTAGTGCAGCTGTCTGTTTGAATTTTTCATTCGGTGAATTCGAACTGATTTGTGTTTCTTGAGTTAAATCAATGAGATCAACACATTTTTTAGGTGAATGTGAAGTTTCCGATGGATTTTGCAGTGTACCCAAGAGGCGACGCATATTCATCTAAAAGGGAAGATATAATTAATGACATGAAATGGTAATTGGGTGAAGGAGTGGAAAAATTAAAACAATTTGAGATTACAAATACTCCATTCTCTAGGAAGTGAAGTTGTGAAATTGGATATCTAGACTGTTAACCCACTCAGGTATCCTAGAACGTGTAGAAACAGTTCCGAAAAAGACCTTTCTTAAACTCAATCCTCAGTGAATAACGTCCGTCATATAACACCATAACACTTAAAGAGAACGGAATAAAGCAAAATTCCACGATCTCTTCACAACCACTCCTATTTTAAATTATGGAGTTAAGGATAAACTATCTGATTACGCCTTTTCTATGAGTATCTATCAGTTTGACTGCTCCTGTGAAGTCAGTAACATTGGATGTACACCTAAGCATGTTCATTGTCGGATTTCTAACCATTGTGTATGGTTAGGCAAGCGACAGAAGAGCTCTATTTAAACTCATCATCTATCTCGTGAATACAGAACATAAAATCGATGTTAACAAGGCTTTTAAAGTTATCCAGCGTATTTTAGCTAATCTCAATTTTGCCCTACGAGTTCTTTTTTTTTTTTAGAATATATAGCTGAAGTTGCCAGAATCCACTTTAAGAAGTTTGCTCAGACGCTCTCTGCACATTGATCATCATTACTTGATGCCAACAATCTGACAATTTCCCCTTTTCTTTAAGTCTTTTTACAAATTATTATCGTTTTGACTACTTATAACACATTTTCATGTATATTATTAATTACACATACTTTGGTGAACTGCAGTTCTGCTGAACATAACAACTTAGTACCACTTAAGAACACACGTCAACGTTGTCACTTAAACCAAGAGGAGAAGAAAGGAATTAGTAGCAAGTATAGTGAATGGAAATTTATTGGAGGAAGAATAATTACGCGGAAAGTAACGGGGATTTAATGGACCTAGAAGATAACATAAAGAGTGAATGCTTCTGAGCTATCGAGAACCATTTTAAGTCACTAACAATTTTCAGTCGTTGGTTTTTAACGTCCTGATGACTTTATCCAGCCAGTCCACACCTTCACATGAAGTTTGAACCAACAGTCAGACTTCACGGATTTATGCAATATTTGGATTTGACCATACCTAATTAATTTTTCCCCAACCGTCTACGACGAACAAGGTGACGGTGTCACATGAGTAACACATGTCTGAGGCATCTCAGCCCATATAACTCCACAATCTCACCAACTAACTGACAGTAATATATATATATGTGGGGAGATCAGGCTGCTAGCTAACTGGTAGACATTAATTTACGTCAATGTCTAGGTCACTAATATTGACCGTGAGAAAATATGAACAAGGCTGATTCAACAACCAGTCAGGGCAGACTTAACGTGGGCAAATAGGATTCGCAGATAGATGGCCTCACTTTCCGAGAAACCCGAAACAACCAATCAGAAGACTGTGTTTGTCTACTTGAATAAGCTATAATAATGTACGTGAAATATTTATATATATATATATATATATATATATATATATAACACAGCTGTCAGTGTATCGATTAAATGGTTAGGATATATGTTACGCACGCATGCCTAGTCATCGCCATCCTCTACGGGCTATGTTAGCCGACCGAAAGCTGCTACCTTGACGTGGTGGTCGGGCTTGAACACCGCAATGACCTAATCAAGCTATACTGGCTGAGACTTATGTCTCTTGAGGTTCTACCATGCCAGGCAGGTTGTTTGGATAGCGGTTAAACAAAAAGCAGCTACCTCATCCAATACCATGATCCAAACAAATTCACAAAATTTCATGCCGGATCGGCCGTGGCCCGGATTAACAACGACCGCGCTTCCTGCTGCCGTGTCACAGGGCGGGAGTGATAAGTATGCTACTGAGGCACACAAAACAACAAGAACGAACAAAAACAGGCCGCGTGTGACCGGCCACAAGCAGTTGTCCCCTGGGCTCTGCGGTCACGCAACCAACTTCCACGGTGTGGGCAGCCGGGAAGTAACAATCGCCCTCACAATCCGAAATGCACACAAAACCTCTCTAATCCTCACTTATCTTTGTCTTCATCTTCATCTCTATTACCTTGCCTTCCTCCACTGATGCAACTCCTCTACTTGATGGCTCCTCACTCCCTCTTCACTCTGTGTCCACTAAAAACGACGAAAGCCAAAAAACCACCACGGATAGTCTCCTAAAGCCACGCCACCAATTTCATATAGGAGCATTTAATGTTAGGACACTTTGCCAAATAGGACAACAAGCATCACTAGCTAAGACCCTGGCATCTCGAGCCATTGATGTATGTTGTGTTTCAGAAACACGCATACAAGACCCAAGTGTGGTTATTCACCTAACCCCACCTGGCCAACAGGATGAATCTTCAAAATTCACCTTGAGGGTGTCAGGAGATGCCACAGCTAGTTCACGGGGATTAGCTGGCGTAGGGATAGCTCTGAGTACTAGGGCAGAAAAGACATTGCTTGACTGGATCCCAGTAGATAGCCGAATGTGTGCTGTCCGTCTGAACGGATCAGTAAGAAGGAGAAAGGACTGCACTACTCGCCGATGCCTTTTCGTAATCTCCGCCTACGCCCCCACTGACTGCAGTTCGGATGAAACGAAGGATGAGTTCTACCAAAAGCTGTCTAGTTTGGTGAGAAAGGCTAAACGCTCAGATATAGTCGTTCTAGCTGGTGACTTCAACGCTCAAGTAGGGAAATTGTGTCAATCTGAGAAGGATGTCGGTGGCACCTATGGAGTTCCGTGCCAGCGAACCGACAACGGTGACCGTCTCCTACAGTTCTGTTCAGATAATCATTTGTTTCTTGTAAGCACTAACTTTAAACACAAGGAGAGACACTGTTTAACCTGGCGACCCCCATCATCAAACCAACGCTGGACACAAATAGACCACATAGCAATAAGCTATCGTTGGCGTGGGTCGGTAGGAGATTGTCGCTCCTTCTGGAACACGTGTGTAGATACCGATCACGCACTGGTCCGGGCTCGTGTGTGCTTACGACTGAACGGACGTAGGAAACAGCTGGCGGTAAAACCATCACGCCCCCAGCTCGATCAGGAAACTAAATCCCTATTTGAGGAAGAACTAGCTAAACGCATATCTGAATCGACAGCTGTGCTCACCCTGGAGAAGCCTGGAAGAATATTCAGTCAGCTATAGATACAGCTGTAAAAGCTGTGAATAAGACAAATCCAAAGGTGAGTAAAAACCACTGGATTTCGACTGCCTCATCCGAACTGATAGATGCTAGAAGACTTATTCCGGCGAGCTCCGAATTCAATGAGGAGCGAAAGCTGCACAAAAGGAAACTTACTAAAAGTCTCCGCAAGGACCGTGAACAGTGGTGGGTGACAAAGGCGAAAGAGATGGAAAAAGCATTGGCGATAGGCAACACTAGGCAACTCTTTAGACTCATCACAGAATCGGGTGGGAAAAGGCAATTCATAAGTGAGACTATTTCTGAGAAAAATGGCTCCTTAATTAGCTCTCAGGATAGACGCCTTGAACGCTGGAAAGAACACTTTGAGGAACAATTTAACTTGCCTACAGCCACACTGAACCTCCCCGCCATCCACCACGTACCCGAATGGGATATAGACACTGGTCCGCCGTCTGTAGGTGAGGTTACAAAAGCTATCAGTAATTTGAAACGAGGCAAAGCGGCAGGACCCGACGGAATTATTCCGGAGGTGTTTAAATATGGGGGTGACATACTAGTTTGTAGATTAACTGAGGTACTAGGCAAAGTCTGGGAATCAGAGACAGTACCATCAGACTGGGGTAAGTCACTTATTATACCGATATTCAAGAAGGGAAACAAGTCCTCGTGTGATAATCATAGGGGGATCAGCCTAACGAACATAGTCTCTAAAATCCTAGGCTCAGTAATCATGCATAGACTAAGCAGAACTCGGGAGGAACAGACAAGGGAAAATCAAGCAGGCTTTAGACCAGGTAGAGGGTGCATAGATCATATCTTCACTCTTCGACAGATTCTAGAACATAGACACACTTTTCGGCGTCCAACAATTGTCATATTTCTTGACTTGAAGGCGGCCTTCGACTCCGTGGATCGAAAGGTACTATGGCAATGTCTGACTGTGAAGGGAGTGCCAAGAAAGTACATTGCACTAATCAAGGCACTCTATTCAAACTCACGTAGTCGTGTAAGGGCTTATGGGGAATTGTCATCTGAATTGGTAACAACCAGTGGTGTCCGACAGGGATGTCCACTTTCCCCATTTCTGTTTAACTTCATCATAGATATGCTAATGGAAGTATCCTTAACTGAACGTAGTGACTTAGGAATCGACTTGTTACCAGGGAATAATCTAATGGACTTAGAATATGCAGATGACATAGTCCTGTTAGGGGAGGATGCTGACAAAATGCAGAGTCTTCTGAACACCTTGAGCAGCAATCTTCGTATGTTTGGCATGCGATTCGCCCCTGCAAAATGTAAGATGCTGCTACAGGACTGGACGACGTCAACCCCTAACTTAGTGATAGGGAGTGAAGTGATAGAACATGTTGACCACTTCACCTACTTGGGAAGTTGTATTAGCACCAACGGACTGATTGGCGATGAAATCTCAGCACGGATCCGAAAAGCTCGAGCTGCTTTCGCTGACTTACACCATCTCTGGCGTAGGCGTGACATCCGGTTATCAACCAAGGGACGTGTGTACTGCTCATCAGTTCGCTCCGTCCTTCTCTATGGCTCTGAAACATGGCCAATACGCGTTGAAGACATGAAAAGGTTGACTGCTTTCGATCATAGATGTCTGCGATCTCTGTCTCACGTTAGGTGGTTTCACAAGATAAGTAATGTTGACGTTAGGCGTAGAGTGTTGGGCAAAGAGGGAAAATCAATCGACGAGGTTATAAAGTTACATAGACTAAGATGGCTAGGTCACGTGGTGCGCATGCCTAACCACCGCCTCCCCCGACGGGCATTGTTAGCTGATATAGGTTCAGGTTGGAAAAGAGCCAGTGGTGGCCAAACAAAAACATGGCATCAATCCATGAAATCCTTGACAGTTAAACTGAGTCAGGTAGGGAGATGCAGACTCCCGGGTTGGGGCCCTCGGGACTCTAGGAATCAATGGCTGGAGACAATAGGTGACATGGCTCAAAATCGTTGTCAATGGCGCAGATGTATTCAGTCTCTGTAATCTTTCATATTCCTTTCTACCATTACCCATTCTGTTTCACTCTTATATTTGTCAAACTCTATTGATTCTCTTCACTCATCTTCTTGTCTACCTCTGTGTGCTATTTGGAACGTGGCAACTCGAACTGCTGCACTTCGGTGCCAAGTTCTATGTTGAATCCAGACAGACAGACAGCTGATATAGAATCCATCAGACCGGAACAGACCTAGCGAAGGTCAAACAAAAACATGACACCAGTCAATGAAATCTACAACAGTTAGTTTAAGCCAGCCAACCACGAAGGCAGGTGTAGACTTCCTGACTGGCTGGTTGGGATCTTCAGGATGGTAAAAATACAATGAAGGCTGGAGACAATTGTTGATATGGCTCAAAACCGTTCTCAATGGCTGGTGGAGATACATCCACTCCTTGTGACTTATGATTTTCAATGAAACCATATTGTTCTTCGTTATTACTATTCCTTTGTCTCACACCTCTGTTTGCTGTCTCTAATATGCATTTCTTCTACTTTCTCTTGCTCTGTGTGGTACATGGAGTGTGGCGACTTGAACTGTACACATCGGTGCAAAGTTCTATGTCGGAAACAGACAGACAGACAGTATCGATTAGACAAGGTGATATTTATTTTGACGTGTTGTAAAAGATTTCATTTCGTCAATTAGCGCACACTTTTGACAGTAATACAAACATACTGCAACTGGTAAAATGACAAGCATTCTTCATTCCTAGCGACTTTATTTGCTCATCCAGTAGTCTAGTTAGAAGATTTCAACATAATGCTTTTTATCACATTCTGGTTATGTGTTACCTAGAGCGCTTGGTAAGGAAAGGTAGCCGCCAATCGACGGATTTGTGAAGCTACATTGGTTGAGATGGCTAGGATACGCATACAAAGTTACCAGCTTCCTCGACGAACAATGGTAGCTCTCATGAGATCAGATTAGAAAAAGACCGTTGGAGGTGGTGGTCAAACCAAAATACTGGAATCAATCTATGAAATACTTGACAGGTAGCTTGAGCTGGCAACGTGAGGAAGTTTACACTACCTGATTGGGGTCATCGAGATGCTAAGAACCAACAATGACTGGAGACTATTTGTGAAATGGCCAAGGTCGTTACCTCCTGTACATTTTCTGCTCACCATAGTCATTTTGAATCCTTCTCATTTCTCCACTTTTGTGTATGATATGTGGAGTGTGTGTGTGGCAACTTGAACTACTGTATTTCTATGCAAAGTTCTCATTGCTGAAACTCACTCACAATCACTGTTTAGTTACCCAGATGACCTATAAATATATTCTCAAGTCGCATATACAAGTCTAAAGTATTACAAAATGTCAAATGCGTATATGAACTGGTTCTAGCTTCACTGTGAAGTTGAATATTCTAGCAACCATCTTTTCATTCGTTCAGGAAAGCCTATCCACCATTTTTGATGCAACGTGTTATAGGTTATCTAAAATAAAAATTATTTTGTACCGAGAAACAGCCAAAAATGAAAATACACTGACTTTTTTGACCATACTTGTCTGTCTGTCTATTTTCGACATAGAACTTTGCACCGATGTGTACCAGTTCAAGTCGCCACACTCCATGTACCACACAGAGCAAGAGAAAGTAGAAGAAATGCATATTAGAGACAGTGAGCAGAGGTGTGAGACAAAGGAATAGTAATAACGAAGAACAATATGGTTTCATTGAAAATCATAAGTCACAAGGAGTGGATGTATCTCCACCAGCCATTGAGAACGGTTTTGAGCCATATCAACAATTGTCTCCAGCCTTCATTGTATTTTTACCATCCTGAAGATCCCAACCAGCCAGTCAGGAAGTCTACACCTGCCTTCGTGGTTGGCTGGCTTAAACTAACTGTTGTAGATTTCATTGACTGGTGTCATGTTTTTGTTTGACCTTCGCTAGGTCTGTTCCGGTCTGATGGATTCTATATCACTAACATAGCCCGTAGAGGATGGCGATGACTAGGCATACGTAACACATGTCCTAACTATCTCAGTCGATGTAATTTCACAGCCTCGTCGATTGATTTCCACTCCCACCTGCCTAGCACTCGACCGAAGTCTAACTTCAATATTGCTCACCCTATTATAGCACTTCACACGGGAGACAGAACGCAGGCACCTATGATCAAACACAGCTAATCTTTTCGCGTCTTCCACTCTCAATGGCCAGGTCTCATAGCCATAAAGATGGAGTGGGTAGACTACTGAGCAGTACACGCGCCCTTTGGTCGATAGCCAGCCGGATATCACATCTACGCCAGAGACAGCGTAAACTGCCATCTCCGAAACTAGCCCTCTGTATCTGTACTGAGATTTCGTCAGAGATCAAGCATTCATACACAATTAGTCCTGAATTGTGAAGTAATTTTACATAAGTCATGGAGAAGGAAGAGAAAACCGGCCTCGTTCCGGCGAATTACTACTTTAAATGATTTACAAGGTATATTTGAAGACCAGGCACGTGGTGTTTTATCTCAAAATGCGTTATTGAATTCACAAGAATTACACGGAATCTAATAAATAAAAATAAAAAAACAATTTGGAGAGCACAAATCATCAACTTACAACAAATCGATGCACCCGTGATTCTGATAATTGCCGAAGCCATGGCATACACAGTTTGGATTTTGCTTCAGAATTTTCATTATCTGTTGAATCTAGGGTTGAAGGATTTCGGAGAGGGTTGGGCAACATAAGCGGGACCCATGAAGCTGGAAGTACTGATTGTTTTATTGAAGCAGAAGAGTTAGGAGAAGAGAAACCACCACGACCACGATGAGCACCTCGACCTCTGCGACCACCTCTACGTGCTCCTATACCCCTACGAGATGGTGTATCAGGCTGATGATGGGTGATTGACGGAGGCGATGGGGCGACTGGAATCGGTCGACGAGGTATCGATTTCATTTCAACTACACAGGTATCTGCAATAACAGCGGAAGAAAATCAGAGGATTTGTGATCATAACACAACACAAGTAACAATGAAAGCTAATGAAGTATCCTGATAGATACCTTCACCTATTAAATAAATACCAGAAAATACAGTTCTTTCTCGAGGATTCCTCAACACACTAAGACTTTCTGCTATTTGACAGGATTAAGTTGAAGTTCTCCAGATAGTAGTCTAGAGATATTAGTTCAGTAAGAGAATAACATTTTATTTACTTATTTTTAATTTTTATGTAGCTTGATTCCACAGCGTATTTCTGGTACAAGTATGGAATTTTCAGCTTGTGATGCCGGTAGCCCAAATTTCGCATGCCGACCAATGAGATAGGGTGTGAGTCGGCAGGAGATCAAACCCCGGACTATGTCCATGGTCGGCGGGAGTCCTGACCGATGTGCCACCGACTCACGGTAAACTTAGTAGCTTACCAATGGATTAACGATAAGTACTATAATTTCTGAACACTGGTTGTAGGTAACAACAGACGCCATATTATTTACCAAATACTTTATTCGTGCTTTAATGTCGATGCTTTTTGCTAGTTATAACATTAAGTCTAAATTAACGCGAATATTATGAGAAACTAATCACATAGGGCCACCTTATCAGTCCATCAAGGACGAGCATACATTAACGACCACTTTATCCAGAGAAAATAATTACCGCTAAAAATTCTCACATATATACACGAGTTACGCCATGGAGAAGGACTAGTTAAGATAAAGTCTACCCTGGCTTTGAAAGCTTTGTGAATGACAGCCTGACCTTATTGAATAAAAGACTTTGATACAGAAATCCGCAACCCCAAGCTATCATTATATCTATAGGCAAATGGAAATATTCTATATTGATTTGTAGATTTTTATACAATAGTCAGTATCGTGACTAAGTAGAGTATCACTGGACAGAATTAGAATATAATTACAGGTAATGATTACTGCTGCTCAACACTTATTAATTTGTACTTCTTGTCCCCAATATAACCGAACCGATACGACCAAGGGTAGATAAACTACGATCTTCCTCTCGAAATACTCTAATATGACTAAGCATTTATAACCAACTCTCCCAGGTTCGCCCAATTTCACTACCTTCACACGCCGCGGGTGTTGCTCACAATAATGAAAGGGCGAATGTAAACACGTCTGGTGATTACAACTGAACTGACGGACATCCAGATCTATCTAGTGGAACTGAAAAATCCTCATTCCAAAACTATAGTGGTGTACATCGGCTTCAGAAATTGAAAGAATAGAATAGCATATGAACTTGTTTTGGTCAATGGAAACTAACACAATGCAACTCTGCTGCTTTGTGGATCATACTTCAAAACAAAGGATCCCCAAGGTGACTCGTTAAGACAATCATCACCTGCTTTGATCTAGGCATCTGGAAGTATTCTAGTACTTGTACAAACTATGAAACTCTGTGCAGCGCATTTCTCGGTGGCAAGTTTGTGTTTTAAAAAATCAAAATAATAAGTTTGCCTCTCTACAGTGAAGTGAATGAAATGAGCGGCATCTTTTAGACCTAATTAAGCAGTACAGGTTGAATCAACATTACGGGAGTACAAATGCTAATTGGAATTTGTAAATGATTTGACATATTCTATAAATCAAATTTAAGAAAATAAGAATCGCAATCATGAACTGTCTGTCTTTTTCCGATATAAAACTTTGCACCGATGTACGGCAGTTCAAGTCGCCACACTCCATGTAGCACACAAAGCAAGAGAAGAAAGTCAACAGAAATGCAAAATAGAGACAGTAAACACAGGTGTGAGACAATGGTAATGACGAATAACAACATACTTTCAGTGGAAATTATGAGTCACAAGGAGTAGATGCATCTGCGCTAGCCATTGAGAACGATTTTGAGCTACATCACCAATTGTCTCTAGCCATTGGTTTTTACCGTCCCGAGGACCCCAACCCGAAAGTCTACACCTTCTTACGTGACTGCCTTAAACTAACAGTTGTGGATTTCATTGACTAATGAATCCATGTTTTGGTTTGACCACCGTTAGCTCTTTTCCAACCTGACCCTATGTCAGCTAACATTGCCCAGTGTCGAGGAAGGCGATCGATGGCTAGGGAAGCATACGTAACACATGTCCTAACCATTGTCTCAATCGATGTAACTTCATAGCCTCGTCGATTGATTTCCACTCCCACCTGCCTAGCTCACCCTATTATAGCACTTCACACGGGAGACAGAACGCAGGCACCTATGATCAAACACAGCTAATCTTTTCACGTCTTCCACTCTCAATGGCCAGGTCTCATAGCCATAAAGATGGAGTGGGTAGACTACTGAGCAGTACACGCGCCCTTTGGTCGATAGCCAGCCGGATATCACATCTACGCCAGAGACAGCGCAAACTGGCATCTCCGAAACTAGCCCTCTGTATCCGTACTGAGATTTGGCCAGAGATCAACCCGTTGGGGTTGGCTGATGCAATTTCCCAAATAAGTGAGTTTAGTAGTCAACATGCTCTATTACTTCACTCTCTATTTCTAAACAAGGAGTTAGTGTAGTCCAGTCCTGTAACATCATCTTGCATTTGGCGGGAGAGAATCGCATGCCAAACATTCGTAGACTGCAGCTTAAGGTGTTCAGAAACTCTGCTCTATTTTGTCAGCGTACTTGCCTAGAAGGACTATATCGTCGTCTGCATATTCTAAGTCAACGAGATTATTCCCTGATAGGAAGTCAATCCCTGAGTCTCTGAAGTGAGTTAAGGTTAAATCCATTAGTACATCTACGACAAAATTGAATAGAAATCATGAACTGGTACACACTTGTAATGTGATTAAATATAAATTTCTTCCTGTGGATAAGCAGAAATATCTTCAATGGTGAGTAGATGTAAAACCTTGTTAACACACGACGATGTCGTCAAAATGATTCATGATAACTAGAAAAATATACTTTATCATAATAACTTGAATTATTTCATTAACAAGTTAGGCAACAGACTACTAACACCACACACCATCACATATATGAAAGCCAACAATAAACTGAGACAATTTTGACCCAGACATCAGCATCACATCATATCATACACACAGGTGATAACACGGTCAGACGGACTGTTTTGAAACTATTATGATCAATAATCGAGATTTTTCTACAAAACAAAATTATCAGTACACATTTTTTTCTCTTACTTTTGGAATGAAGTGATAGGCGTTTATGACTGACTGACCAACTGACTGGTTTCAACATAGAACTAGTTTGCACCGATGTGCAGCAGTTCGAGTCACCCCACTTCACTCAGCCAGAAAAATGCGGGGTATTTTCGTATTTTTCTCATGCATTAATGAGAAGAAATTCCACTGAATTCAAAGTATGGAGTTAGTTTAGAAATAGAATACACAAGTCTAATCATATATAGCAGTATTAACGAAATGGTAAACGAAGTATAGCTTCAACTACTGGTGGTATGCATGAGGATGTCAAAGCCATGATCGGAAAAGTAAAACACACCTTTTATTAGTCTAAAAACAGTCTGGAAATCTACTGCAATCACAATAAAGAACAAGAATCGGATTGCCAACACTAAAGTCTGTATAGTTCTTCCCAGCTGACAACTGCTACTTTGACGTGGTGGGCGGGATAGAATACCACAGTGACCCATTTTCCTGCAGGTCCTACCATGTCAGGAAAGTTGTTTGGATATCGGTTAGACTAAAAGCAATTACCATGGGGTACATGGGGTCCAGAATCCAAACGGATCAAATGGCATATGAAGGTATATTGGTCACCGGTAACCATGGGAACACAGCTTCTGACGCTGCACCGCTTCCTTGCCGATTAGACTCCAAGTTAAAGGCTCAGCGGGGTGGTCCTTAAGAAAACCACCTGCTTCGATCTGGGGCCAGGCAGTATTTCAGCTGTCACAAAAGTGTTGCGCATCTTCTTGGTGCCATACTGTACCAAGTTTTTCTGCGTTTACATAAAATAATAAATAATTCTGTATAGTTCAGAGACTTGGCATGTCACCAGAAGTACTTCAGACAGACTACCGCAAACTTATATCAGCATATGCCTTTGATGGTTCCATTTTGAAGATCAAATGGCCAGAAAGGATAAGCGACAAGGATCTCTGGCAAACAACGATAACCTAGTACTCAACGAATATGGCAAAGGAAATGGAAATGGATAGGACACACCCCTAGGAGACCACTGAGTAGAATCGCGCACTACGCTCCTTGAGTGAAACTCGAACCGGGAACGATGAGTTTGGTGCAGTTTCGAGCATGACACGGAAGAGATTGTGTGCGGAGGAGATGAGAGCCTACTCTTAGCAATCATGAGCAGTCAACTAAAAAAAGGACAGCAGAGAACATCGTGAAATGACAATGTGTTGCAAATGCCCTATGTTCCCCTGAAAACCTAAGAGAATAATAGTAATAAAATCAAGCTTGCATTTTCAAACGAACATAGGAAGAAAAAAATGAGTACAACTCTATGTCAAAGTAAAAAAAAGAAGTGCCCAATAAACATGACCATAGAGTTTCATCAATTATCCAGTTGCTGTTGATACGCTCATTTTATAAATATGATTATAACGGCAAATTACAATCGAAAGTAGTATGAGGCAATCAAAACGGGAAAAAAAGTACATATAAAACTCACCTTTCAAATGAACAGCCAATTCGTCTATAGCAGCTATCACTGACTCGTCTACTGTCGAAGGTTTCCTTTTGGTTTGTTTCAACAATGCCTTCAATTCACGTTTATTTACTTTCCTTTGAGCATGAGAAGTAGTGTAATCCACAGTAACTAAAAGACAGTTTCCAACAACAACAATACCAGAGAAACTTGCATTAGTCATTTGCAAAACCAGTCATAACAAAAGTTATTGGAACTCAAAACATTAGCTCACCAACAAACACAAATTAAATTGAATGATACAAAATTGCCAATTATTTACATTTCTACGCATAGAATGACTTGTAAACCTCTTGCTTGTCACTCCTCGACGGGCAATGTTAGCTGACATAGGTTCAGGTTGGAAAAGAGCTAGTAGTGGTCAAACCAAAAACAAGGCTTCATCAGTCAATGAAATCCCCCAACAGTTAGTTTAAGTCAGCCAGTCACGTAAGGAGGTGTACACCTACTGGTCGATTGGGGTCCTCATGATGGTAAGAACCAATGACGGTTGTAGACTATTGTTAATATGGCTCAAAGTCATCGTTCGCAATGATGCAGATGAATCCACTCTTTTTGATTTACAATATCCAATAAAATCCTATTGTTCTTTCATATTACTACTTTGTTTGCCTCAAACTTCTGTTTATTGTCTGTCTTTTGAATCTTTCTTTACTCTTTCCTCTTGTTTTGTGTGCTACATGGAGGGAGAGCGGTAACTCGAACTGCTGAACCCCTGTGCAAAATTCTGCGTTGAAAGCAGTCAGTCTTGCTTGTCACTAGCAGCAGAACTTGATGGAGTAACTTCAGAGGTGTTTAACGATAGTGGTGACAAACTGTTATCAGGATTAACTATAGTATTAGATAATGTCTGGCAATCAAAGATAGTCCTGTCAACGTGGGGTACATCATTGATTATCTCCGTTTATAAGCAGGAAGAAAAGTTTTCCTACCACAGCCATGGAGGGATTATCTTGATTAATATAATATCTACACATGTGGATTTAATAATCATGTGCAAACTAAGTGGTGCTGGAGAGAAACATATGCGAGAAAACCAGACAGGCTTTAGGCTAGGAAGAGGGCGTATTGAGCATTTCTTTATGCTTTGACAGATTCTGGAACAAAAGGCAAACTTATCGGCATGCTACATTTGCCATATTTCTCGACATAAAGACAGCATTTAACTCAGACAACCGAGAGTTGGTGTGGCACTATCTGGTTGTGCCAAGAATGCGAGTTGGACTAAACTCGATGGTTTACTTGAACTCAGGCAGTCGTGTAAGAGCCCATTGAGAGTTATCATCTGGAGTGATGACGACCAGGTGCCCGTCAAGGACATCCAATATCCTCAGTAGTTGTTTAGTTTCATCAGAAATGTAACAAAGGAATTAACCCTAACTGACTTTAGCGACTTAGGGATAGACATGTTACCAGGGTACAGTCTGGTTGACTTAGAGTATCCGGATGCTATTATCCTGCTTGGTGAAGACGCTGAAAAAATGCAGAGCATCGAGCTGTGGTTTCATTGACGAATGCATTCAAAAATTCAAACACCGATGTTCAGGCAGTTGGATAGTATCAAACATCAAGTGTGGTTTACATACAATTGTACAGCACTATACGTTATCCCAAATATTACAATCTGAACCACCCTTGGTTTATGGTTATGTCTATCTGCTATACTAACTGGCTCAAGAACTATTGTTAAATATACATGCGAAAAGGGTAATATGCTTTGAAACCTACACTCTTGTATGTGCAGCTTTAGCAGTTTAGAAAAATTAGGAAAACTGACCATGAAAACCAACCCAACTTCTTTTAGACTTTTCTTTCCCGACCGATAGCTGGTACATTGACGTGGTGGTCGGGCTTGCAAATCGCGATGACCCAACAAGCGACAATGGCTGGAACATATGTTCCTGCAGATCCTACCATGCCAGGAAGGTTGTTAGGATAGCGATTAGACTAAAAGCAGTTACCGGCTTAGTGTAAGAATTATTTTAACACTATGCTGGGGGTCTGTGGGCGAAGTCGTACTGCTGGGAAACAGGGATGTAACAGCAGTAAGGTGTTTGCCTCAGATGACCAGCATGCCAGCTATGCTGTCTCTCCACTCCGGAGAGAGGGGGTTAGAAAAGGTCGATCCAAAAATTGTACATCCCGACTTACCCTATGGTGGTCCGTAACCTGCGGTAATCTTACTAATACGGGACCAATCCAAAAACCAGTTCATACAGGCCGTGTGTGACTGGCCTAAAAGCAGTTGTCCCCTGGACTCTGGGGTCACGCAACACTAACCCTTTCTTTGTTTCAGGTACCCGAAGAATCAATCAACTTCCACGGCGTGTGCAGCCAGAAAGTAACAACCGCCCACACACTCCCAAAAGCAGACAGACTTTTCTTTCAATAAATACTGTACGTCATTAAACAAATACACAAAGGTTAATATACTAAACAGTGAGCCATCTCTATTATTTTAGGGTTGATTTCAAAACCTGGGGGTTGGAACACTAGACCCAATGATTGAAAGACGAGTATCTAATTACATAAGGCAAAACAGTCAATTCTATATGCACTCATATCGAGAGTTGGTGAAGAATCAGATTATGTAGGGTAGGAACATCATTCACTCAGCATCGGCGCTACTAATTATAGCCGACATCATATAAGATCCCCGCGTCAATAGACTAATCGATTGATAATATAAATAAGATAGAAACCTAGTGGAGCTATACACATTTAAATATCACTGTTTTTAGGGATCCGTAATAAAAGACTTGTGAACAGTTCATAAACTTACCCTTATCTGGTTGACGAGGTTCGACAAAAACGGAGTTTTGTGATCCCATGAGATCTTTGGCAGAAGAGGCCTCACGAGTAGCTGATAGTAAAACAAAAACAAACATTGAAATGACTCTAATAAAAACTCCCTAAAATAAAACTGTTGTGACCAAGATAATACGGGATTTGGGCTCGCTTGACAATAATACAGCTGATCACCAGACTATTACTTCCACACGGAAAAAAGAAATGGAGACATACTGAGGAGGCAAAGATTAACTCCTGTTTCAATAGAAACGCTTTCAATAACTTCTCATCCGAACAGTAACCGTGACAAACATACAATTTAAATCTAATCTATAGAACTAAATATGAAAATTGAAACAGTTGATGTATTGGACAGTTAGACTGTCTCATTGCTTCATGTATACAATAACATAGGATGAAACAAAATATTACGATGTATAGTTATTCACCTCCTACCACACTGACATACTACGCCTACAGCTTTTAGTAGGAAAACTTTGAACACGTTCATTTGGAAACAGAAACAAAACTGCTAGTTGTATGACATCTGGGACGGGAAGATACCAGCAGGTATTTCGATTCATGCCATTGATGCATTAAGGTGGACGAAGAGGAATGATAAATTATTACCCCTTCTTTTATTCTTCATCCACTCAACCAGTAATTAGTCTCTAGGATTACTAACGCACTTTACGCGTATAGCGAGGCGATGACACCCAGATCGACATTGAAAGACGAAAGGGTGACAATCCAAGCTTCGGAAGATTAAATGAATTATATACAACAGTATCGGATAAACTTGACCATGGAGTAAACGAATAAAATTCACCACTCAAGGATGGTAAATTGATATGGGCGGCAAACACAGCAAGTAGTGAAATGAAGCGAAAATGGAAAGTGAAAGTCTATATTATTCTATGTACTTCGAAAATTATGTTAAAACTCCTCTGCTAAGTCCTAACAGTCGTGTTTTGTGTTAGGATAAAATTACCAACAGGTTCCTAAAGCTAAAACAATGACCGCATTTGTAATGCGTCAGGTAGTCGAATATACAAATCGAAAACACAAATATCAAAAAGAGACAATTAACCACTTATTAAGAGAAAATTTCACGAAAGTACATCAATAAAATTGACTGAAATAGATAACTTAAAAGAAGATAAATCATATAAACTAATGAAATGCTTACATTCATCATCATAGGGTACTTCATGTTCACTACTAAGTGCTGTAGGAAGTGAACTTTCATGATCCCTTGACTCATTACTATAGTCATCTGCAAAGTTTTTGAATGTAGTTTGATCGATGTTTTCGTTTTGTGCTCTTCTTTCCTTACCACGACGGCTACGATAGTCCACTTGTGATGAGTATTCATCTCCATCAGAGTTATTACGAAGTCTGCGGCTATGAACTGATTCACTGGATGTATCATCTGGTGTTTTTGAAAGGGCATGAGATGATTTTGATCCGGTGTCTGGTGAACCACAGTTAGAGTGTATTTGAGAATCATCATAATGAGACTTCAAACTACTTATCAAACCATAACGACCAGACGATTTTGAAGTCCTTTGCCTTCCTTTACGTTTCATATCATCAGTTATAATTGGCACATTCAAATCGTTACGATTGTTTAGTAATTGGAACTTTGAGACACTCCTAAGCTGCAAGATATTTGGAAATACACGTATACATAGTTATGTTAGAGGGTAGACTATATGTATATATATAAACTAACCACTGAAGTTCCATAAACTGTCCACCTATTATGAGAAAATGCCATAATTCCTACGAAATACATTTATCAGATAAATAAAAAGTACTTTGTAGAGGTACCTTAGTTCACACTTCGAAATTGCATTTGTAAAAAGTAGTGGGCAAAAACGCAAAGATGTGTAGGAAGAAAGAATAGTTAAATCGCTACTGCAGACAGTTTCAATGACAGTGACAACATTTGAACTATTGTGAGTGATTTTGAGTCATTCCTACCCTGCAGCCATAAACTACTAACACCATGAAAATAATACAGCTTCAAAATACAAATGAGCGGCTCAACGTACTGGGAAACAGACATTCAGTGATTACATGTCTGAAGAATCCAAACACGATGTGTCAAATGTGCATGCTTTAACCTTCAATCATGCTAAATGCATAGAGAGCAAGGGTGAGTCAATCACTGGCAGGAAAACCATGAGAACAAGACGGTGATACTTATTCCGTAAGCATGAAAAAACATCAGTCACCCACAAAAAGACTAAATTCAATAGTATAACCCCAAAACTTGGAAAAATCTGAGGCACTTACTACTTCTACGACCAAAATATAATGCAATAAAGGCAAGCAAAATTTACTTAATAGCCAGGGAAAATACCAAATGTGAATGATAGAAAGGTTGATAAATAATAACGAAGTACTTATTCAAGTAACAGCTGATTAACATCAAGGAAGAAAAGTGGAGTTTATGGGAAATGCGTGATTCCTTATTATTTTGTAATTTATCAATAGGTTGACCAATTCAGACGCTTTAACTGATGCATCACTTCTAGTTACTCATGATACACATTATAAAGTACATTACTTTTTGAATAGTTTACAGCAACATGGGTGGCAACTCGAACTGCTGCACTTCGGTGCCAAGTTCTATGTTGAATCCAGACAGAGACAGCAACGTGATAGACTGAAGAATCAACACAGATGACAAATTTACACTTCGAATAAACAAATAATCGAACAAAAAGTACGATGCCACAGAGTTTATGAAAGAACAACCAATTAAATATTAGTAATATTCAGAATCGAGAAAATGACACTCAGTTGATAAACTTGCGCCAATATAAGCATTCTCGAAGTATCCTACTAAACTCTTCAACCTTGGTTCCTAAGCATACTGAAAAATTCCGCAAGGCGATCTACAGAAATGATCAGTGATTTTATGAATTAGTTTCATGTTTAAGTTTAGATAGGGAGTCGATACAGACCCATTTTAGCGGTATCATCTTACATTTGACAGGAGTGAATAACACCAAACATTCGGTGATTGTTGCTCAAATTGTTTGGTAAACTGGATTCTAAAAGCATCATTGCCTAGGAGGACTATTTCATCCAAATATCCTAAGTCAACAAGACTATACCCTAGTAACAGGCCAGTCCTCATGTCGCTGAAGGCAGTTAGGATCAGTTCTATTGGTACACATACTCTGAAATAACACAGAAATGGGGACAGTAGGACGGACATCATTGTCTGCCGTCGATTCAGGTAACAACTCAAAAAGCTCTTACAGGACTGCGCGAGTTTGAATAGTGTCGTTATTAATGCAACTAACCCTTTAGGGACTTCTTCACTGCCAGCACTTCTCTTTCGGCAGAGTTAGATGCTGCTTTCATGTAAAAAAATTGGGAAGGTGTAGAACGCCGGTAATTATGCTTATGTCTCAGGATCTTACGAAGACTGAAGCTACGGTTAGTAATAACATTTCCGGGCCTAACAGATGAATGTAACATATTGCAACCATAAGACACTAACTTTTGTAACTGCGATCTCAGGAAAATACATAACTGTGATACGCGAAGTTTTTATCACCTCAACGATTTTGAGAACTGCGGCCCTGCAGTTCTGCAAAAGGATGAAAGCTCACTATGGGGAGTTGATGAGCTAACGCTAGGTATCCATTCGTTAGCTTTGTCCTCTTTTTCAAAACTCCATCAATTTGTTGTACACCATTTCATTAAATCATTCTGACGTCCGAATTTCCTGAACTCGAAAGTCAACCTCTACTTTTAACCTTAGTTACTCGACTTCTATTTCAAGGAAGGTGATAATTTGGTCATGCAAGTAGTGGGTGTTACCTACTAGATTTAAATAAGAATATTATATTTACCTAACTTAACCAATGACTACAAATTTCGCACTACGTGAAGGAAAACTCCACAGAAGACTGCAACTATACTCGCAATACTTTTTCACTTGCATAATATGACAACTTGAACACACAAACCTTCAGGCAACCCATTCTGATTCACCTTTGTGTGATATATGAACAGCGAGCCATATAATTAAGTAATCAGCTACTATCCATAAGTAAATCCATTACCAGGTCATTTAGGGGACGGTAAACATTACCACTACAAACATGAATTTATTGCTAATAACTAAAGCCCAAAAACTAGTAAACAACCTTCAAAACGTGAGAACAGGTACAGATAACGGTGTAAATGAGCGGTACTTTAATTCAGAAGTAAAAAATACCGGTTGTATACCAATTAGTACACAAAACGAAATCCGCAGTGAGCAACGAATAAACGCAACTATCACCTAGAACTGATTTTTAAAACATCGAACATGTTAATTAATCTCTTGACCAGTCATGTCTTCTGTTTGAGAACAAGTGTTTCTACCTTAATACGTGCGCAAAACCAATCCGCAATAACCACTTTTAAGAGTAGAAGCACTGCGCATTGGTCACAATACTACTAATAAATGCACAGAATGGCTAAGGCATCTCCGAAACTCGAATACAATACACGTTCAGAAGTATTCGTAAGGCATGGGGAGTATTCTTCAATACTTTCAGAATATGATGTCACGGTTTGTCCGAAAATAGACCGATATATATAGGTGGGCCGCACAATGCGTAAGGCCCTTGACTTACAAAACCTGGAAGTAAAACAGACCTTTGCAAAGACACATTTTCCAAAAACATATTTGATCTCCCGACAACAGTTGAGAAGCTTCCTAAGAGTAGCTTTACAATAGCGTTCACTTAATTAGAGATAACACATTCCGATTCTTCCCTCAAAAACTAAGTTTTCCCATAAAATTTTTGGATAAACAATAATAGATTACATTGGATCTATCCGTTACTGACATGCAATTAGTTTGATATGTTGAAAAAACTAATGCATACAAACTACAATTTATGGAACATAGACTTAAAGAGGAAGAACATAAAACTCACTTTTCAATACTTTAGGGTTATCATAGACGATAAATGTACAAAGGACTCCTCAAAGAGTAATTGTATAATAAATCCCGAAAACATACGACAAAACCGAAAGAACTTCCAAAGTGACCGCCCAAAATTCACAAGGTCTTATTACAAACAAAGTGGGGATATATGACAGCTTTCTGAACTACGAAAGGAAGCATCGAATTTGTTAATATTTCTGCTGGAAACCTACAAGGCTGTTATTATATGTTAGAAGTTTTTAAGGGAATGATAAAATAATGAGGGGTCAAACTGAAAGATAAATCTCTGTAGGTACATGAGGATATCAACACAAAATCCATTCTCTATGGACAAGATATGGTTCAAGTTTTTCGAACTAAATGCATCACACCTGCAGACGTCAAAAAGAAGCATTTCTGCAGCAACCATATAAGATATGAGATGCCTTGTTATCTGTACATGCTAAGAAAAAATTCACAAGTGCTTTTATATGTATTGTACATGCACTTGTAAAACACACAAGCAGGAAATGAGATGTATAAACACATGAGGAGATTTACTGTGAATTCTTCTGGCAAACACTATAAACGCTCATTTCATGAATTATTCGGCTTTTCACTGTTGTTATAGATACAACTAAACTTTGTACTACCTATTTTAAAAAATTTGTATGAAAGGCTAAACATCTTTTTCGCACCCAAAGGAAGTGATCCATATGGTACAGTGACGGCTAGGGAATTTCACTGAAGATTTCAGGACCGCATATGTAAGACATTAAAACTCCAGTGGTCTAATGTTTTCCTGGCGTATTAGCCGTACTCGAACCGCACTCATCATAAAGACATCCTCATCTTGTTATAGTTACTCCTCAGTGAAGCTGCTTTATTCTGCCTCTTTTTCTCATTCAAGAAAATTGCGTTGTAAGTCACAGGGATCTATAAGATTTTGACTACAATAACTACAATAGTTTCATTTTCTTGAACAGAAACCAGCCTTTTTGATGGGAATGAACTTGTGTACACTAATGAGAATTGATAGAAAATATGACGTCATTTGTCAATATAAATCTAGACTGCAGATAGGTTTACATGATAGAAATACTGAAAACAGTACAAATAACTAGATAAGTAACTTCCAAAACTCTCTTTAAATCTAACAAGTTATGAGATATTGGGTAAAATCAAAATTTTTAGTTTTAAAATAACCACGGCATATCAATTTCACACAGGAGCTGTAGATAATTACCTGACAAGGAGTAAGAAGCATTTTGATATACAAGCGATAAAGTGAAACATAAAGGATGCAGAATGCAGAATAAGTATCACCTTATGAGTAATAAGGGTTGACCTGAAATCTAGTTATCTGACATTCAATAACCAGTTTTGCAACAACTCAGAAAATTTCACTCTTACGTAGGTAGCAAAAGTAAATCACAAGCTGGCTTCACCAAAGATGATAACTAATGGTGTAATACAAGGAAGCGTTCTTGGCCCTATTCTATTCCTCTTACTCGTAAATGACATAGTCTCTGTGATCAAGTGTGGCAAGCCATACCACGTTGCAGATGATCCCAAGACAGTATATGATTATGGGTACGATGACACGAGCATCGAAAGTAAGATCCAACATGACATAAACAATCTAGGCTATTGGAGCGAAAAATGGAGGCTGACTTTCAACCCACACAATTGCGGTATAGCCCATTTCGGACATTGGAAACCGATAATGTGTAACCTCCTCTCAAAAGTGAACTCAGTCACAGATCTCGGGATAACGTACTCAGATATGACCTTTTCCGATCATGCAAATAGGTTGTCAATGTAGTTGGAGATTGAACGATCAATTCATGGCTGTTTGCTCAAACCCAACCCTAAATTCCGGCAGGAGTCATCAATACGGCAGTCATCGTCTCATCGTTTGCTGTTCGTTGGAAGAGAGAAAAACTATCAGAATTATTGGATTTATTGTTATGACGTTTATTCTTAGACTTTGTGCACGATAACCTAATGTTTGGCTCTGTATTGGTGCAAGAATAAAGGGTTCTGAGTCACAATCTGTGTTCTGGGTTCGCGTTGGTTATTACAAATTTTTTGAAAGTCTTCCATCGACAGTGTGAGGTCCAGTGTAGTAAGACCTGTACATTGACAAAGGTAGTATCTGACTGTAAACGACTTACTGGGTTTCTACTGCGTAACTTTTACGCTCAAGAAGCAAGATTAGCTATATATAATGCATGCATTCGCCCGAAAATGAATATTGTGCTCTCCTATTTAGTAATCTAAGGCCTGCAGACCAAAGAAGTCGAAAGTGTCCAGAGACTCCTCACAAGACGCATAATAGGGTTTGACCAACAAGTGGAACATGTTGGCAGGTGTATACGATTGAAATTAGAAGCCTTATGGTTAGGGACAGTGAAACGCACCGTGTTTCTACCCTTCAAAACCAGTAGGAAACATTGTTGCAGTGACTCGTCCATAACATGGGCAAATATCGAATCATATCAGCTGCGAAATCATGACTGCCATTTCAAGGTGGCTACCCATAGGAAAACCATTAGGGGGACTTTCTCACCATTCACTATTGCACTATTTGGAACCAGTTACCATTTGAAACTAGATCTTATGAAAACCCTGACGAGTTCAAATGGAGGCTAGGAAGACATACTAACATATCAAACCCAGCTCGTTTAAAAGACCACAACCGTTGGTATAATGGTAAGTGAAAGCCTGTACAGTCTTCAGTATAGTCACTTACATCCAGCGAATTTACACTACTTATACAGCGAACGCTTAACCAGTTTACCGATTTCCTGTTCTCTATAATCTTCAATAAGTTGGGTTATTATAAACAATTCTAAAAATGACTATATTAGCAACCACACCTTTCAATATCTTATATATATAATTAGTAATACACTGCGTTTTTGTGTTGAAATGACCACGCTCGGTCAATAACTACATTTTCTCATTTTCTTTTTCTAAAGCGTTTGATCTTACAGCATTTCTTAGCATTTTTATCCAATAATATAAGTAGATGGGTTACTTTGCAATGTCTGACGCATACCATATAAAAATCGGTCGTGAAAATTTAGCATAACTAGTTCTGTTAAGTAGCTGTTTTGTCCAGGATCACTCTACATAATTGTACTACTAATTGTTCCACTACCCATTCAACTCTATTAAATAGATTATAACTTAGTTCCTGTAATGCTACCTACCTCTATACTTCATAATTCTTAAGGGAAATTTAATTTCTTAGTCGTTTGTAGCAAACAGCTATACAGATGTATGCATGTATAAAGGTGATACTGCTAAGAATGTCGATGTATCTGGTGACCTAATGAGAAGCACCTGCCATGAAGGCTATTAGCGTGCAGCATATGATTAGGGCAGGCTCAAAGCTATGCAATGCTACGGCTAAATTTGACAATGCAGTTGAAGATTGAACGATCAATCCATGGTAGCTCACTCAAACCCAACTCCTCCATATTTTTCGCAGGAGTCATCAATACGGCAGTCATCGTCACATCATTCGCTGTTCAAAGGAAGATAAAAAACTACTAGAAGTGTTGTTGTGATTTATTGTTATAACATTTATTCTTAGACCTTGTGCAATAACCTTATTGTCGGTCACATGTTGGCGTAAGAATAAAGGATTCTGGAGTCGCCAATCTGTGTTCTGGGTTTCGCCTTGGTTATTACAAATCGTTTCTGAAAGTCTTCCATCGACAGTGTGAGGTCCAGCGTAGTAAGCGCTGAACATTTATAGTTTTTGAGAGTTGGCTGACAGAAATTGTTGCTCTTTTTTTCAACTTTCGTTTGTGAGAGCAATCTGTTAAAAAGTCATTCACCTGAGCACATTAAGATATATAGAATTGTTGCCTTCGCTTTCACAGAAACCCGAAGTGTGTTTTGGATGGATGAGAAATACTTGGCAAAAATATGAAGCTTGAAATCAGTTCCCTCATTCCATTGACTTTCAGCTATCAACACCACACAAAAGTGCGGAAGGATGCTAAATTTGATATCAACCATATTCCTCGGTTCCTGTAGCAGTAAAAGGTACTGCACAAATGCTGATAGGTAAATTTGAGACCGAGTACAAGTTTCCGCCAATCTGCAAAGAAATTTATCGAATGACAGTCGTTGAAATGTACGCGAAGCTTACTCGGCATGCCAAAAATCACTGCATGAACCATGTATTTAAGCGTCCTGTCACACAAGCAATAAGTAATGCTCGAGAACAATATCGAACAATAATTTTCATATAAATTTAACCAACAAGAGCAAAATAAGCACCGAAATCGCATCTACTGCGTTTGCTGGACGACTAGCTCCAACTCGAATCAACGAAGCCGCGCAAATGCCCTCAAGGTTAAGCCAAAGGCGCCACTTCAAATAGGGGATATGCTTTATCAACGCCCTAACTTTAGAGTTTACAGCATCGTATTCTATTCCTGATTTATATTCACATTGTTTGTTAATTTAAAATTGGTGATATATTTGTATAACTTTCTCGGCATTTTCATCGCAGGGACACCTGAAGTTTAACCGAACTCCATGCAGGCTAATATTGGTCATTGTCAGGCAGGTTTGTTTCACCTCCCAGGGGTCAGTCGCCACTTGCAGCTGCATGGTGTTCTGTACGAGTAAGTTGATAATGACGTAGAAAGCTATTTGTAAGCCAGTTGCACCTTCATTTTAGTTCATGTATACTGCTCGTACGGGATGTCATACAGCATCGTGATATGATGACAGTGCATTCTTCAAGGATGTTGAGTTATCACCAGTCAAAATTTTGAAGGACTATATACAATTATGTTTCCAATTCCTGTTCAACTTCAGTCCTACTCTGGGTCTGTGCAACTTCTACTATAAGGCAAATAGAATAGAACAGGCGAGCAGTAAATTACCAGAGAGGAAGGAAAAAGTATGCGGGCACGGATAGGACCTTAATATTTGTATATATATGTTTATATTCGTTTTACATTGCCGTCTAGTAAACCTATATATTTATGAATTATCTTGATCTCTTTACTCATATATGCGCCTAGTATGTTTATACTTTTTGGGTAATTGGTGAAGTATCACACTCTCATTAGATATTTCGGTGATCGAGAAAGTGT